AATCAAAACCATGCCAGTTGACTTAATGACCGACTTTATGATACAACGCGCACACGCTAACCATTCGGCCATCCACACCCCCAAACACAAATTGTAAACAAGCCACAGCGAATATAAGTGCTGGGGTAAAATTTCTGGACAGATTGAATCCAATCGGGGAGATTAATCACCGTTGGTATTTTGATTTTGATTACTTATTAAATGTTAAATAATCAAATTGTGTACATGTCAGACAGGATTAAGCCGTGGAAAACATCATTTGTTTCAAAAAAAGCCAATGACGGAAAGACAGAGTTACCTGATCATTTTTGGACCCCGAGAAAAACCACACGATTTGACTCATGACTTTTCTTTAAAACAACCATTAACATTAATGAATAAATTCACACAATTTTACCCAAGACTCGTGACTTTTCTTTTAAACAACTATTAATATTAATGAATAAAACATATTTTAGTCTTACCCGATCTTCTTTTTCTCTATCTAATTGCACAACCCTTTCTTTCATGGATTCAATGGCTTGTTCTACGTTAGCTGGTGGTCCAGTAATCCTGATAGTGTTACTGTTTTCTTCTGCAGGAGGGATGGATATATTCACATCAAAGTCCTGCATCATTTTACGCACATCTCTACCCTTCTGGCCTATAATAAATCTATGATAGTCGTATGGAACACTGACTTCTTCAGTGATAGGAACAAGAGCCTGTAATAAAATAAGTTATATTTACAGCAGTTTCCACGAGTTAACGGGTCAAAAAGACTTCAAAACTAGTCTGTTTGTATGGAGAGATAGACTTAATGGGAATGAAATGAAATGGGGTTCAACGTCTACAGACTGGGCTAATAGATTTAATGGAAACTTGACACAAACCAAGTCATTTCAGGACTAACACAAGGTTCGATTTAATTTCAATAATTTGCATGTGAGTAGGGGTCTTTAGCAGTGGGAGGAAAATGGTTGGACAGGCGACCCTACTTCTTGTCATGTACAAGTGGGGAACAGATACCATGCCAGTTGATTGAATGACAGATCTCAACTACCCAACCCCCTAAGTACAAGTTGGGAATCGAAACCACGCTACCCGACTCAATGACAGCCCTTAGGATCTAAATAGCCAATCAACTCGAACACCCAACCCTTGAAGTACAAGTTGCGAATCGAATCCACGCCACCGGACTCAATGACAGTCCTTAGGATCTAAATAGCCAATCAACGCGAACACCCAACCCTTGAAGTACAAGCTGAGTAATCGAAACCACGCCACCTGACCTAATGATCTAAAACATAAGACAACTCGAACACTCAACGCTCCTACTATTACATGAGATCTTATACCTGTATCCTACCTACTCCTCGTCACATGGGAATCAAACCATGCCACTTGATTCATGAAGAAAGATCATTCGGCCAGTCAATCCAACCCTCTGATACATGGCTGAGAGAGAGAGAGGGAGAGAGAGAGAGGGAGGGAGGGAGAGAGAGAGAGAGAGAGAGAGAGATATTATACCTGTAACTCTTGTTCAGCTGCCTTACAGTTTTCAGGTGTACCAGTTAAAACAATGACATCATTTTTATGGTTTTTTTCTGTATCACTCTCATCAGTACCATTACTCTCACCATTTGGTATGTTTTCTTCATTCTCTGCCGGTCCTTTAAAAACAAATAAAATATGTTTATTTTTGTCTAATATACAGATGCTGTCCCAGCTTGTTGTTCTGATTCTTCTTAGTGGTGATATCGCAGACAAGTTGTCTTTTTTCATTTTTTTTATTGTCTTAGTGCACAAACAGAGGTCATTACAGTGGGAGGAAACCAGAGTACCTGGAGTACACCAACGAGGTTGAGAAGGCACACCCTGTCTCCAAGCCACATGCCCTCACACCAGGGTAATCGAAACCACGACCAGCAAGCGGGAACTCAACCCCCCAGCTTCAGGTATCAAGGTTGAATAGGTGTTCAAGCACCTCTTTCATGGAATAAATAACCGATTTAATATCCTATAACATTCATTAAATTTTTAAGAAGAATTTGAAAACAGCTATCTTAAGGATCTTTTTACGAGTTATTCTGTCGATAGTTAAGTGAGCAACAAACTTGGTTTAACGTCCACTCAACATAAACTAGGTCATTTCAGGACTAACACATGGTTTAATTCTATTTCAACAATTTGTCACGTACAAGCAGGGCATCAAAACCATGCCACATGACTCAATGACAGACCTTATGATTTCACATTAAACTATTGGGCCACCCAACCCCCTGTAGATTTGCTTGCACGGGGATGGACAGGCGACCCTACTTCTTTGTCACATGGGGAATCGAAATCATTACACTTGACTCAATGACAGACATTATGATCTAAAGGACGTGTCAGACTACCCCCTATGTCTCAATGACAGACCTTATGATCAAAAGCGCAGGTAAATAACTAGACCACCCCACGGATCCTATTATGAAATAGGGTTTAACTTCCTACTTTTCGGCACCGACAAACCTGTAGAAAGTAAAGGTTAAATTTATTTCAAATGCACACCTGCACTGCAGATTTTGTCATCGGTCCTAGACCTACCCCTAGCCCAGTGATTCTCAACCAGTGTGCCGCGAGACCTTTTTAAGTGTGCCGCAAAATTTTGAATACCACACTAAGAAAATGCTAAAAAAACATGTGATCCCAATTGAGTATTTACTGGTGTCTACTGATAACTTCATAGCTGTCGTTTTCCAAGGCATGCCATTGGCAAAAAAAAGGTTGAGAACCACTGCCCTAGCCCAAGACCTAAGCCTTACCCTAATCCTAGCCTACAATCACGCACCCTAATCCTGTTTACACCTGGTGACCATGGTGAAATCTGCAGGTATGCATGTGAAATAGATCTAGCCCCCCCCCCCCCCTACCCCCACCTCACAGGTAGATAGTAAAGAAAATAACACCTTACCTCCATTAGCGATTGGTTTATCTGGGAATTTGATGCCAACGTTAAACTTAGAACAGACATTTTTAACATTCTGTCCTCCGGAACCCATCACAGTTCGATGATATTTTTGTGGGATAACACAGTCAACAGTGATCTGAGAATCCTAAAATGGAAACACAAAAATATTCAAATTTCAAAATACCTTTTAAGTGAATACTTATCTGCTGAGAAAAATGAAAAGACATGAAATGGGGTTTAACGTCCTACAATGTGCTATGAGGGAAATTTTGTCTATGGCCTACTCTTATATCAATTTCCATGGCGTGCATGTCAAAAGGAACATGGGACCTCAGTTTTTCATCCCATCCGGACGACTTAAAGAACTATTATGTAAGAGCTAAGGCTTCAAATGATATATTAATTATTAAGACATTTATTCAGGTGACCAGCCAATGATTAACTCTTTTGGCTAAAGGGTGGCTTAGATATTGAGTGGACGAGACAATGCCCGCCAAATTGACGTTAAACTCTAATGTGGCTAGAGACTGACTATCGAGGCATTGATGTTCTATGGGGGTAGTGAACATCTGCCAATCATGGCTCTTGTCAAATCTTCAGGAATAAAGAGAGAGAAGTGGGGTTTAACGTCCACTGACACAAGTAGATCATTTCGGGACTGACAAAATTCAGTTTTTATTTCAATAATTCATTTGCGCGTAGGGGTTTTTAGCAGTGGGAGGAAAACGGAGGACCCGGAGAAAATCCATGAGGTTGGACGGGCGACCCTACTCTTTGTCAAGTACAACCAGGGATAGCAGGATAAAATAATTTGACTAAATCTCGCATAATTTATCTTTAATACGTCAAAGTTTTATAGACATTGAGAAATGAAACTTACCAAGTCATTGACTATTTCTTGGATCTTTTTCTTAGCACCTTCGATACACTCTTTAGGTCCTTTGATCACAACCTTGTCACTCTTTACTCCACTACGAGGAAAACTCACAGTAACGCCACCATATTCTTCACCGATCTGACGTAAAACTTCACCACGTCGACTGACAAAATGACGATGATGTTTAGGATCCACATTCATCTCACTTTCTGCTATATTATCCTGTAAAACAAATATAAAATGAAACAAAATAAACATTCTATTCAGAGTCTAAATCCAGTACCATCTATAATAATATTTGTTTTTGACTTTTTGTCTGTTCAGGGTTGGTGGCTACACTAGGGAAGTGTTGAGACTGAAATTTGGTGTATAGGGGTAGCTCAGGCTAGGTGCTGTCTGTTCAAGGCTGGCGGCTACACTAGGGCAGTCCCGAGGCTCAAATTTTGTGTATAGAGGTAGGGCTCGGATTGAGGAGTAACATACGCCTGGAGTCTTTGGCCTACTGTTACCGGGGGATATACTACTTTCAACCTGTACAGCGTCAGGTAATCTGCTAGATGGAATTTTATTCCCTGAAGTAGATAGAGGCACTTGATTTGTCTGTTCAGGATCGATGGCTACACCAGGGCTGTCCCGAGGCTGAAATTTGGTGTATAGGAATAGCATACACCTGGTGAGGTTGGCCTATTGCTTCCGGTTTTGGAAGTGTCATCCACTTGCTATATAACTCTAACATTGTGATTTACTCTACAAATTTTACTAACGCAAACTACTTCTAGACCAAAGCACATCTTTCACTTTAAAATTTGGCTCACCTCCCACCTTTCATATTGTCCAGATAAGACAGAGAGAGAGAAATTGTTTTTTTGTTTTTATTCAAATGTCTGAATGGGATTGGGGGAAAAGGCTTAGCCTATGTATAACCCCTCTCCCCTCTCTAGTGGGTTGAACTTCCACTTGACACAAACTAGGTCATTTCAGGACTAAAATATGGGTTAATTTTATTTCAATAATTCACTTTAGCAGTGGGAGGAAACCAGAGGACCCAGAGAAAACCCATGAGGTTGGACAGATGACCATGCAAGTGGTGAGTCGAAACCACGCCACTTGACTTAATGACAGACCTTGCGAATTAACGTGTACCCTTTAAACCATTAGCCCAACCAATCACGCTCTATTATCATTGAACTACCCAGCAGAACTGCCATGTAAACGTACCAAATTCTTGATGAGTCCTTCCAATTCTTTTTGTGCCATCTCAACCGATTCTTTTGTACCAATAATACTAATGGTTTCTTGATCCTTATCATTATTGGTTGGGAATATAATTCGAGCTCCAGTGCTTTCTCGTACCTATAAATATAATCATTCATAATGAAATAATCTTATTTGCAAAATGAAATGGGGTTTAACATCCTACGCCTGGGCAGTGGCACTATGGCCTGCTCTTACATCAGATTACGACTGCCAAGGGATCTTTTACGTGCACGCCACAAGTTCCAGTTGCAAGTGCATCCCGATATATCGGAAACAGGTGTTAATAATATTATAAACAAAGACTGCGGATACGCTCACTACATCTGAAGTAAACATCCCTTCGTGAATAATTATCAACAGTGAATAAGTGATATTACCTTTCTAATATTAGCACCACCACGTCCAATCAGGAATTTATGATATTGAGCTTTAGCCTGGACTTCTGCAGTAAAACCAGATAATTTCTACAATAAAAAACAAGTCAATTTGATAATTATTTCAATGAGACTAGAATCGAATGGGGATTTAGAATTTTGTTGACAGAATGGAAAAGGGATTTAGAGTCTCATCGACAGAATGGAATAGGGGTTTAGCATCTCAGCAACAGAAAGAAATAGAGGTTCTCATCAACAGAAAGAAAAAGGGGTTTAGCATCTTGTTGACAGAAAGGAATAGGGGTTTAATTATTTGTCGACAGAATGGAATAGGGGTTAAGCACCTCGTCAACAGGATGGGATAATTTAAAATTAAATGATATATCTTAGTGAATCAAATGGGCTTGTTACGAATATGAAAGTGAAATCAAATGATGCTTACCTTTTCAGAAGCCATTTCCATAAGTTGTTTCTTAGCATTTTCAACATCATCTTTTGGTCCACGGATCATTACTTTGTCACTACTGGTTCCCTCTGGTGGAAAACGAATGATAACACCACCACATTCCTCCATGATGGCTCGAATCAAACGACCTTTAGCTCCGATGATAGAATTGTGCAGATTCGAGGGAATTTCAACTGTAACCTCTTTGATGTTAGCCTGAAATATGACATTAAACAGTGAAATGAAATGGGGTTTAACATCCTACTTTTCTGTACAAATCAGCTGAATGAAGTGTGGGATACGTCATGTAATGTGATGAGGACAAGAGGTATCTTTTAGTCTTTTCAAGAGAGAAATGGGGTTTAACATCCACTTGACATAAACTATGGCATTTTTGGACTAATATATGTTTCAATTTTATTTCAATAATTCCCTTGTGCATAGGGGTCTTTAGCAGTGGGAGGAAACCGGAGGAAACCGAAAAAAACACCCACGATGTCCTTTCAAGAAGTACTGATGGTTAACGCAGAGGTTTGGCAAGAGATAAATGGCTTCATTTCGGGACTAACATATGGTTCAATTTCATTTCAATAAGGTTCTTTAGCAGTGAGAGTAAACTGCAGGATCCTGAGAAACCAACAGATTGGACAGGCGACCCTACTCTTTGTCACATACAAGCGGGGAATCGAAACCATGTCACTGGACTCAATAACAGACCTTTTGATTAAAAGCATGCATGTTAAACCATTCGGCCATCCAACCCCACAGACCCCTCGGTAACCACAGTCCCTTTTTTTTTTTTTAAATATAATTTTAAAATATCTTACCAATTCCTTCTGGATTACTTCAATCTGTGATTTGGCATTTTCAACATTTTCACGTTTGCCCGTTATCAGAATTACGTCTGAGTCACTGTTTTCACTGGGTAAATCAATTTTAGTGTCTGTCTCATCCCTAATCTAAAATCATGAATAATACAAATTCTAAACTTAATCGAAATGTGAAAATGATATGAAATACAAATTAAAATAGCAATATTGTTATATATTTATAAAAATGAATCAATCTTTGGATGGAGATGAAACAATGGTCATCTACAAACCTAAAATTTATTAAATTAAATACGTTTGTTAAGTTAGTGGGATACCAAAAAAAACATGTGTTAATACACTGTAACCTGGGTATCATTTAATCTTGTGTATCTAGCACTAATTTCTTTTACATTTGTTTAATATCAAATCTTTGTTTAAAAATTCGTAAAAATCACCCCAAATCATCTAATTTTTAAACAAAGATTTGATATTGAATAAATGTGAAAGAAATTAGTTCTATATATACAAGATTAAATGATAACCAGGTTACAGTGACAGTAAGTGATAAACAATGGATATTATTTAAGAATATTGCAAGTACTGGCACTAAAATGTGCTAGAATTTCTAAAACAACAATTGGTATGATTAACAGATGATTATTCTGCCCAATTAAACACAACACTTAGAATTGATTAGATGCCCAGCGTATAATAATTCTAGATATTTACCTTGCGGATGTTGGCACCACCTTTACCAATTATATTTTTATGGAAACCCTTGAAAATGTGCACCTCAGCCTGATAATTACTTTCTAACTGTAAGAAAGAGAATTATTTGATATTTAAATATTTAGCCTACAGTGTTACTTATAGAGAGCTATTCCATACAGAGAGTATGTTCAAAGCACCTGTGATTTAATTCTGTACAATAACAGTTCTATTCTAAGGCAACACTTAATTTAGAGTCTAAATAACTATATCTTCAATGAGCTTTCAAATGTTGATAAAGATTGTTATTTCTTTTTAGGTGGATGGAAAGCTTGTTCCAGTATACTGCTGTAGTGTATTAAAAATATCAATCACCAAAAGGTTCGAAGTTGTAGGTTGGGAATAGTAAAGATTGGTCATCTGAGCGAAGGTTTTCAAATGAATGTTATATCGTTACTCTCCAACAGAATCTAACATTCCACTTGTAAACTACTTTACACTTTTTTGTAACATTGATAATAATGCATTATCATTAACTGTCAATATCATCGTTAAATACTAACCCAAATACAAAATAAATATCATTAAATTGCTTGTAAAAATATAAATCATTATGAGCTTACTGTAAAATAACATAGGCCTGTTGGCAATGGACTACCACTTCCAGTGTCAGAGTTATTACCCTAGGCTTTGGGCCCTGGGCGAAGCCGCGTATCCTCCTAGTATATAATAAACGAAATCTATCAAACTTACTAATTCTGTGTGGTAATGTTGAAGGTATTTATAACTTCTATCCACATCGTTCTTTGGACCACGTAACGTAACAACGGCACTCTTTTTGCCTGCTTCAGGGAAAGTTATCTGCACTTGATTAAATTTATCTCGAATTTCTTTGATATTTTCACCTTTGGCCCCGATAATGGTTTTGTGGAATCTTTGCTCAATTGTAATATCTCTACTCTTTTCATTTTCCTAGAAAAAAAAACCACACAATCTTAGAAATTTATATTTTTGCAACTGGCATTAATCCACCTTCCTTATTGCAGACTTAAAAGTCACAGAACTAGCCATTTTAAAAAAAACAAATATTGTACAGAAATGAAATAGGGTTTAACATCCTACTGTGCTGCTCCAACTGGGTTAATAAGGGGAATGCTCACTAGTCCGTGGGTTCACTAGTCGGCGGGATCATTTGTCCGATCATTTGTTCACCAATATCTATAATTTGGGTAAGGGTTGGGTTAGGTGCGGACTAGTGCACGTGCAGACTAGTGAACCCATTAATAAAGATGGTAATATTGAACAGATAACTGAAATCACGTAAAGAGAAATTAAATGAGGTTTAACGGCCTACTTTTCTGCTCAATCTTCATTAATGACTACCGACTTATGCCATGGAGTGTGTGATATCTATGCGGAGTATACTCTTTATCTCGAATTCCAACTGAGACAGGTTCTTTTACATGCACACCCATGTGTACACACAACCACGTTTTTTCATTCATCAAAACGATTAGACACTGTCCCTGCAAGGCCCTCCGTACCGCATAACTGACAAGGGTAAAACGGGCCTGAACATGAGAGCAACTTTATCTGCCTATACCTAGATCTAAGCTGGGACTGCCAGGTTACTGAGCCACTGTGAGGTGCTGATGCCCGAATGTTAATAACTCTTACCATTCTTGTTGACATTTCGTGTAATTGTTTTTTAGCTTCCTCAACACCTTCTGGGTTACCTTCAATACGGATGATATTACTCTTCTCGTCATCAGATGGTATTTGGATGGATACGCCGGTGCTATTTTTAATTTTTGTAACTGAAACAAAACAATAAATATTTTATATTCTATGTTTTAATTTTCTCTATATTTATTTAAAAACAAAACATTTGTTAAATCACAGAATTTCAGGACTAACACATGGTTCAATTTCATTTCAATAATTTGCTTGCGTGTAGGGGTCTTTAGCAGTGGGAGGAAACTCAAGAAAACCCACGAGGTTTGACAATTTTATAAGGATCAACTAATTGCAGTAGGTTAATTTAATATGTGCGCGGATACTCTGGCAGATAGCGTCAAGAGAGAAAGAAATGATGTTTAACTTCCATTCGACACAAACTAGGTGATTTCGGAACAAAGTTCACAAAGCATTCTCAGATTTAAGATAAGAATTTACTCAAAATTATTCGCCTTAATTTAATTAAAATATAGAATAAATCAATAAGAAACTGTGAAAATTTTTGTGTTTCTCATAAACAGTGATTGAAAGTTCTTAACTTAAGTCTGAGAATGCTTTGTGGACTCGGGGCCTGGTTTTGTAGCCCCCCCCCCCCCGATAAACAATATACTTACTGTTTGAGCCACTCTTTCCAATAATATGTTTATGGAATTTTTGGTCCACTGTAATTTCAGCAAAAGTCATTCTGCTCTTCTGCAAAAGAGATAAAATAAATGCATTTTTCAGAAAAAATCAGATTTTCTACGACTTCAACCACACCAGAACGTACTCATGGCTATTTTTTGACAGATATGTGCGATTCAACTTTCAGATTATTGTAGTTTGCAAAGTAATCTGCAATCCCTCAAATAACGTTAAATGAGAGCACAGAAATATTTCATAGAGGAAAATTAGCATCAAGTTTCGAGTGAATCATCACATGAAACACCCAATCTGATTATAACACAGATCCTATTTCGTTTCGTTTTTTATAGTTCAAAATATCGTTTTACTTGTCTTTACTACACTAGGATCTGGAAGAGTTGTTATATTACCGGCGTTCTGGTTGAGGTGAGGGATTAGCCAATGAAATGATCTCTTACAGCGAGTTCTTGTCGTGCGATGCACAGAATTGTAGGTTATCCACTCGAAACATCAACGCTGATTGATTAATCAATGCCCGACATCATAGGGTCAAAAGCTCCTCATATGACCCCTGACGTGACCCCCCCACCCCCTACAACTTGTCAGATCTTCATGTAGTGTAGGCTGTCGAAAGTATAAAAAACAAAAGGAAATATAGATCTGTATTGTAATGAGATTGATGAAACACGATATAATCCAATGTAAGGCTACATACCAAGTCATCAACATATTTCTGTAAAGCTTTAACGGCTTCATCAACTTCTTCTGGTGGTCCTTCAATAGTTATCTTATCCTGATTCTCAACAAACTCAATATGAACCTAAAACGATAAAATACATTTAAATAACTCTTGTCACATGACCCTAAATAAACAAAATACGTTTAAATAACTCTTATCACATCCACTCAACGTAGACACCGTCATTTTTTTACTAACATATGGTACAATTTTATTTCAATAATTTGCATGTGCATAGGGTCTTTAGAAGGGGTAGGGAGGAAGAGAGAGGAGAGAGGGAGGGAGAAGTAGGGTTTAATGTCCACTCAACACAACTAGGACATTTTGGGACTAACATATGGTTCAATTTTTTTTCAATAATTCATGTATGTGGTAACCACCAGGCCATCCAACCCCCCTAAAAAATAAAATGGTGTTTAACGTCCTGCTTTTTTGCTCCGATTGCATTAAAGAGAGAAATGGGGTAGAATGTCCACTCATTTCGGGACTAACCGACTGCGTTAATGAAGACTGATATATAAGAAACATTTTGTATAATTTGTTTCCTTACCTTAGAATAATCTTCAGATATTTTCTTGATATTAGCACCTTTACGTCCGATAACGTATCTATGTAACCATGCCGGTGCCACGACATCACTAAACACAACACTGTTAGCCTGAAACATAGAAACACAATATTAGTGCTGGGTGGATATTCGTATCACGCCATACAGTGTGCTACGAGGGAAATTTTGCCCGAACAGCGGCACTACGGCCTACTCTTATATCGAATTCCAACTGCCAAGGGATCTTTTACGTGCACTCCAATGTGTACACCGGACCTCGGTTTTTCGTACCGTCCAAACGACTAGACAGCTTTCCCTGTCAGCCCCTCCGTCCTGCATCACTGACAAGGGAGAACCACGTCGGAAAATCAGGATGAACTTTCTCGGCCAATGCAGGGATCGAACAACCGACCTCCAGGCTAGCGAGCCAGCGCCTTACCCACTTAGCCACGTGGTCCCCCCATTTACCGAGAAAACAAGATAAATGAATAGTTTTTATTTTTTTGGAGTCCCTATTTAGGATACAACCATTACATCCTTTGGCTAATGAAGATCTTAATTCTTACAATATTTTCATTCCATTCAGTCGTTGTTGTTTGTATTTCAGAGGAGAGCCTAAAAACGCTCCCCTCAATCAACAAATTGAAAAAATCGCTCCGCTCAAAAAACTTAGAAATTAAGGAGATAAGATATGTGCATGGGAAATGGTTCTAAGATCATTTTAACTGCATGTAATGGGGTCATTCCTGGTTTCATAAATGATAATAAACCCCCAATGACTATGTAAAGGAAAAAACTCCCCTCGGCCGACATTCAGGTGGGCAGCAGGTGATCGAGAGTGATCGCTCGCCTTAAAAAACAATGACTGTCAATTATTCATATAATAATAATAATAATATGTCCATTTATATAGCATCAAATGCACAAATCGTAATCATAGCGCATACAAATATACCAAAGTCATTTGGCTCTATGTTGTTTTTTTTGTCAATTTCTGTTGTGAGTTTTGAAAAGACGAGTTTTTAATCGAGATTTGAAGATTGATAAAGAAGTCAGAAAATATAGACATACCTTTGAGTAAACCATAGTTAAAGCAGGACCAAGTTTTTCCTGTTCACCACGTAATGTTATAGTCTCCGAGGTACTGTCACTAGGAGGGACTTCCACCGACACACCGGTGGCCCCCAAGATTTCATGGAGGCCAGCAGCACGTGGGCCAATAATATATTTATGTTGCGATTTTCGAACTTCAACTGAGACTGTTTGGCACTTCTTTTTCTGTGAAAAAAAAAACACATCAATATTTAGGTTAAATTTGTAAATGAAATGAGGTTTTAGGTCCTAGTTTTCTGCACCAATAAAATTGGGATGTAAATTTAAACAACGCAAACTATACTTATGAAAGATATTTTGTCATGTAACAAGAAATGAAGAGAAATAAAATGGGGTTTAACATCCTACTGTTCTGCTCCGACTTGGCTAATGAAGACATACAGTGTGCTATGAGGTAAATTTTGCCCGGACAGCTCGCTACAGCCTACTCATATCGAATTCCAACTGCCAAGGGATCTTTTACGTGCACGTCATTGTGTACATAGGATCTCGTTTGTTTTGTTTTTTGTCCCATCTGAACAACTAGACAACTGTCCTTGTCAGGCCCTCCAACCCTCAGAAATGACACATAGCCCAAAACAAAGTGTGTAAGTTAGGTTGCTGAGGGTACAAAAACATGATCTAAATTGATCAATGGGCATACCATGGGCATGACATCGGTATACACAAATTTATATTCAAATACTTACCTTTTCTTCGTAAATTTTCATGAGCGTATCTTTGCATTTCATGACGCCATCTTTTTCGCCGGAGACAACAATTTCATCCTTCATGACGCTGGGAGGAGGGACATTAATTTTAGCGTTAGTTTCTTCCATTAAGGTTTTGATAATCTGATTATTCGGTCCACAGACGAAGGGGTGGAAAACTTTCAGAATGGGCAGACGTTCGAATCCTAGCTTGGCCTGTAAATAGATCATTGAAAACATATAAATATATATTTCTAAATTAAATCTAAATACATGTATATTTTTAAATTAAATCAAAATATGGCTGAACCGTTCAATATATATAATATTGGAGACATCCGATGCCATTGAGTGTTGATTATGGTCTGGATCAGTTCATTAATGTCCAATTAATAATTTAGAAAACATTGCAAGTCTAAAGAGAGAGAAATGGGGTTTAACGTCAACACGACACAAACTATGTCATTTTGGGACTAACACATGGTTCAATTTTATTTCAATATGTCGCTTGCGCTTAGGGGTCTTTATCCGTGGGAGGAAACCCGCGAGGTTGGACAGGTGACCCTACACCTTGTCACATAGCCTAAAGAAAGACCTGCAGCTCTTGCATAATGTACGTTTAAGTCTGAGAATGCTTCGTGAACTCGTGGCAAGTTCTTGTATTATGCAACCATCTTCGGTTTCAGAAAGAGTCTAAAGATCTTGTATAAGGCAACAATCAATAATAAAAGACAAGCAGAACTCACCTGTTCAGCAGAAATAAGCTGAATTTCATGTTTAGCTTTATCTATTCCTTCTTTAGGTCCAACAATCTTGATTGAATCCGAATTCTCGTCGGGTCGGGGGATGTTAATTTTTGTTGCAGTGCTCAGTTCAAGTTCCTGTAGTTTCTTACCACTTTTTCCAAGTATATAACGATGATGCTCTTTCGGGATGCTGACGATCGTGTTAGCCTGACGAAAAACAATAAAAACAAGCGTTAGTCTGACGAAACAATAACCACATCGATAACATACGAATGAGTTTCTAACGACCAAATTTAACAAGATTCATTAAATGTATGTCTGATACCACTTTTCATTTGGTGATTTCTAACATCCAAATTCAACAACGGGATGTAAAATCCTACTTTTCTGCTGCATACGAGCTAATGCTAATGAAGATGAGCATATGTCATGCATAATGCTTTAAAAGACATTTTGCCTTGTTGGCTAGAGTTTACTCTTATTTTAAAGTCCAACTGTCAAGGGTTCTTTTACATACATGCAGATGCGAACTCGGGGAGGGGGGGCTCCAGATTAGGGAGATTTCCAAACAACTAGACGCTGTTCCATCCTGCAACACTGAAATTCCCGGCCAGCACTGGGATCAATCCTGGAACCTACAAGTTATCGAGCCAGCGTGTTAACCATTAAGCCACTGCGACTCCAAAACTACAGAGAGATAGATAGAAATGGGTTTAACGCCCACTCGACACAAACTAGGTCATTTCAGGACTAACATATGGTTTAATTTTATTGCAATAATTCGCTTGCGCGTAGGGGTCTTTAGCTGTGGGAGGAAACCGGAGGACCCAGAGAAAACCCACGAGGTTGGACAGGCGACCCTACTCCTCGTCACGTACAGGCCTTATGATACAGCGCGCACATGCTAACCATTCGCCCCCCCCCCCCAAACTAAAGAACTTGAACCCTCGAACTACTGGTTATGCTACTCGTGACCAATAGAAACCAGAATGAAAAATCCCTGAGTTCTTCTCGACCTTTTTGAATATCTAATTTACCTGTGTTTGAAGTCTGGTCATGACTTCTCTTCTTGCTCTCATAACGGCATCCCCTTTACCATGTACAACCACTGTTAAAGACTGATCTTTAGCCATACTAATTTCAATAGAAACACCTGCAACAAATATCACACATACTTAAACATACAGTATATAACATTTACTTAAAGGGACAATAACACTCTTGCTGGCTTGACAGCTCCAGAAAATAAAAAATAGTCTTATTCTAAGTAGCCTACTAGATGTGTTAGTGTCCTACCTGTTGTGTAAATTATCCATTAAATCCTATTTTACTTGTCCAGAGGGTTCAAAAATATTTTTAAATCCAAGTCACATATGAAAAGCTTTACGTCAGGCTTTTCAAATCATTTAGTTGAATTTTTCCAATTTTTAAAATTAGGTGTGTTAAAATGAAATTTGTATCATCAATTAATTGGAATATTGTAAAATAGTACAATTTGTTGACCAGAATAAAGATTGGGACATATTATTCAGTTACAACAAGAGCAAGTGGTATTGAGCCTTTAAAAGGGTTGACCTTGCTACAATAGTTTAAAAATAGATAATGAAATAGGAATATATTGAACATTTCTAGTCAAATTACTTTAATCTGAGCTGGGTTAAGAATGTTTGAAGTATACACTGTAACCCAGGTATCGTTTAATCTTGTGTACCTAGCACTAATTTCTTTCAGTCGTTTAATGTCCAATCTTTGTTTAAAAATTCATAAAAACTGTTTAAAATTACCATAAATCATTTAATTTGTACATGTGTCCAGTTTAAAGCTGACAGATTAATTTTGTTAATGTGTGTCCAATATACAATTATTTAATTTCCTGATGACTGTTCAAAAATTAATCATTATACATCATTAATCAATTGGGTTGTTTATTTTTTAACAATGATTGAGAAATTAAACACTTGTAAATTGGACACTCATTATCAAAATTGAATGGTCAGCTTTAAACTGGACAGAAGTACAAATTGAACGATTTATGGTGATTTTAAACAGTTTTTACAAATTTTTAAACAAAGATTCGATATTAAACGAATGTGAAAGAAATTAGTGCTAGATACACAAGATTAAACGATACCTGGGTTACAGTGATAGCATCTCGACGTTCATAGCTACAGATGTTATGATAATAAACAAAGTCTTGATAATCTATTTTTAAATAAAATCAATTTTTGTGAGAAAGTGCCATTGTACACCACAGTAGCTGAAGAATTTACTATTGTCTAAGAATAAGTTACTCAGAAGACTGAAAATAGTCCACACTCCTACCAGTGTCAAACTGTGGTGAGTAAAGGTACGAATATTCACAAACCTGTTTTGGACATAATGTCCTTGCATATTTTAGTCTGCTCCGTTTCATCACCAAATAATCGATCGTCCATTTCCTTGAACCTTCTTTCTTCTAAGGGAACAGAGAAAACCTACAAGCCAAGAAATTTTTTAACTTGATGATCATCCCTAAAACATTGATTCTCATGAAAAATTTTAGAAACTGAAAACGCTGATCGGCAATATCGAATTTTTCAAGACAACTTAATCAAAGCCAAATGTACCCATATTAAAAACAAAACAAAAACATCTCTGAGTAGAAAGTCCCCCCCCCCCCCCTGGATTTAATACGGTCAAATGAAAAGACCTAGGCAAAAATTATAGGGGACAATATCCCTTTTATATCTTCGTAAACCCTGAATGGAATTGAAACTTTTTTGATAAGTATTTTTTTTTTTTAGAGATTCTACTTCCACAATTTTGTAGTAAGCAAGCAATTGTCCAATCCCTAAAATGATATCCAGGGACATTGAATTACCTCTCGTCTATTTCGTTCAGACCATTCAATTGACAAGCTGTTCAACTCAAAGTAAGTTTCTTACCATCGCATCTTGTACTGGGAATAATTGGGATACATTTTAAACGACTCAGTGCTAGACTAATTTAAAAATAAAATTGTAAATCTCTATAGAGATGGGTAGTATTGTTCTTCTTCAGGGTAAAGAGATTTTTGTTGTTATTCGTGGTGTTTAGGGATTGGAGTACAGTTGAAGTCTCATGTGATCTCCACCCTCTTTGTATCAAGCTGCCATTTAATTTAGTCGTAATTACCTGTGTACACTTAATTGAGCGGACAGTTGGGTGTTTCCACGCTCCTGTTTGGGATTGCCATGCACCTTGTTGTTGAACATTTGAAACATCTCGGGCAGCTTCTAGGGCCGGAAAAGCATCATTGTAAGTCTGGGGCTCGTAAGCCTCATCCTCTACACTGTGGACTACCTCAGAGTTCGTAGCCATGTCCTTGCTCATATTTCAGTAGACAGATCCGAGTCGAACAGTACACCTGTAATATACAACCAAAATCATATTTATTATTACCAAAAAGCCAAAAATTTGCTTATGCTAGGTTTGCACTGCCGTGCGATGTGCTACGATAGGATTGTCCCCAATTAGTACACAATCTGGTATGTGCAGTTACTTTCGGATACGTTTCGATACGATCAACACGATTGCTACGACTGACCTCAAAATATAACATCTGATAGGATCACCATGATTACTCCACAATTAAAACCACGATTTCAATCATAGCACGAATCATGATAGTGGAAACCTATCTTGAGAAATGAAATTGAATGTCCTAGTAGTCCTACCTTTCTGCTACATCGAGGCTAATGAAGACAGGTATGCGCCATGCAGTGCGTTGTGAGGGAAAATTTGCCTGCCTGAACTTAAACCACTAATAAGTGGAACAAAGCAAGAAATCACAATGAAACCTTTCGGCTGCAATAAGGATCAAATCCAGGTCCTTCAGATTAGCAAGATCATATTTTTGATCTACATCTTAGGGTTGATTTGATATTTGTTTATTTGGTGCAATGTCTATTTTCTGTCTTGTCCGCAGGTTTATCTTGTAGATTTTTTTGTTTTACGTGTAGTGCGGTCCTCCTGCACTTACTATTAAGTTACATTTAATAGCAAGTGCAGGACCGCACTACACGCAAAACAAAATCTACAAGACAGAATATAGACATTGCAAAAAATAAATATCAAATCAATTGATAGGATACGGGGGCCAGCCGTAACCGTAAGATGTAAACTCATGTCTGGAAAGATTACAAGTCTCACGCCAGAATTTCAACAGAACGGCGTTTTCAGCAAAGATAAGGGTAGAGAGACCTCCTGTTTATGTACCTGGAGGTACATGTAGCATACACCAGATGTGAGACTTCGAGTGATACTGAACTGACATTAGTATTAAGTCAAGTCCCAACTCATTGACATTAACACCAAGTCTTCAAAAGACTCAAGCCTTGTTTAAGTCGCCAGTTCATCATATGTGTCTGCAATTCATTATGAATAAGGCAAGTTGGCGACCTGAGTTATCACAGCAGCAAAGTCTGAGTCAAGATAAATATTTCAAGACAAGTCGCACGTCCGAGTCGTGTGAATCGAGTAACCGACTCTGGCATACACATGAAAAGTGCTGTATTCTAGTGTTAGGATTAGCAATCAATGAAGATGGGTGGCGAATTACTCCTCGTCTGCCTCTGACATATTCACGTTGTACAAATAATGTACAAAAAAACAAATGGGTTACCTGTCCCATGTTATGCATGTAAGAAATTATCATGGGAAACGGATATCTTAAGGGAAAAAACAGAAATATTGCAGTAAATTTTAATTAAAAATGGTTAATTTGGTGTGGAAAGCTCGTGGATCTAGTTCATAATATAAAATTGTATCTAAAATTCATATCCATCGCCGTATAAGAGAGAAGCTTTATCAACTTGATGGCTATACAATAACAGCTGTCAGTGACAAAGTGTCGACTTTCTTCAACTTTAAGTCTTGAGGAATTTTCTGAACCTAAGAAATCTTTCGATATTTCATCAACAACATCATAGAACCGTTGTGAATACTGTTTAAAATAATTAGAATATTTACAATTAATCATCATTGAGAGATATCAAGGGGAAAGTTGTACTAGGTACGACTTGGAACGAAGTGAAAACTTGGTCCACGTAGGACCTCTCAATTCGGGCATAACCGGCTAATCTGTAGACGTGTCGTTTTCAACTTGACAAAACTTATAATCTTACCGTACTGCGTCCGTAATGTCCGTCCTAAAAGAGATTTTCTTGGTTATGAGTCTCCAATGTGTCTGGGTTGGTATCTGCAAGAAAAAAAGCGACTGTCAGTAGAAATTATTAACTTTGTTTTATCAAGGTACATCTAAAATACAGACCATCACTTACCAACCACGTAACAGAAGGAGCACTTCACAAGTCAGACCTTGACTAGCAAGCTTGCGCGTAGGGATACAAGTATTCTGTATAATACGGCTTATTTGATTGGTTGAAAACGGACACTTGCTGACGAAAACAGTTATATTGGCCAATGGTGATGGAAGGAATGGGGTCACACCATGGTGTAAACAATATGTTCTGACACATCGTCCCCTTTTTTATTCCATCATGTTTAAAGGCAAAAAGATATACATCAAATAATAACAGTAATTTTAGATCAAATTTTAATCCTTTTTAAAATACAGATAAACACATTAGTAGTTATACATGGGACTATTTTGTATCAAATTTTACTGAGTTCAAAGTTCAAAGTTTCCAATAAAATACTCTGACGTCACTGCCCACGTGTGAAAATAAATTCAGTCAGATAACACCATATGGTTTGTTTATGGAACGATCAATTTGTGTTATTGAGAACAATTTCTCAAAACTAATTGAAATAAAATGTATTAATTTCAGCCCACCGGCTATTTGAAATATTGACCATAATGGTTTTGTACGATAACGAACATTTGCAGTAACATGAGCGGGGCTGGGGGAGTTGGCCTAAACAAGCAATGGAATGAAAATGAAGCATAAAAAAAATTAAAAAATCAGTGTGTGTGTTTGCCCTGATTTAATTCACCCCTTTCTGGATCTATGCTAAGATTAAATCAGTTATTTCCATTGTGTAAATTTTTTTACCCAGGACATACAGCAATTCGTGTATTATGTATACCACCGATAATTTTCTTGGTTCAATTCAGTTAGAATTATTATTATTATATTATAGAAAAACTACAAAACTTTCTCAATCTCATTTCTACTTTTAAAACCGTTTAAGATAATATAAAAATTTTTTTATTTTATTGATAAACGAGATTGTTTCCAATTCAGTAAAACTGCCGAGTCTTTCTTTCGCACACTTCAAAAAAAAATCAGAAAATCATTTGTACGGATTTTGTGTGATAATCTATAAAAAAAATAAGAGTTGCCCCCCTTCAACTGCTTTACTATTGATTGGCATTTGGCTATTTTTGTTTTCCACAGAGAGAAATGGGGTTTAACATCTGACACAAACTAGGTCATTTTGGGACTAACACATGGTTCAATTTTATTTCAATAATTTGTTTGCGTGGTACGGGTCTTTAGCAGTAAGAAGACCCATAGAAAACCCACAAGGTTGGACAGGCGCCCCCCCCCCCCCCCCCGAAAAAAAAGTTGTCGACCATATATAATTTAATTTTTATATAGCTCTAAAATAGGCCTACCTACTGTAGACTGTGCCCCCCCCCCCCCCCTAAAAACTTCACTGGCCCTCCGCAGCCAGCAAGCTGGCTATGGGCCTCCTGCAGACGACCTTGCTCCTTGTCTCGTTGAAGCGGGGAATCGAAACCACGCCAGTTGACTCAATGACAGCAAGACCTTATGATGCAGCACACACATGCTAACCATTCAGCCATCCACTGCCCCTATGACACTTGGATCCCTCCCGTTACAATAATTGCTGCATATGCCAACCATATATATATAATGACAAATATGGCGTAGGTCTAGCACAATTATTAAACAGCGATGTGATGGTCCACAGAAAATAACGACGGGCTACTTAATTTAGACTAATTACCTCTTTAATTGGCATTTAGTAATTGAATAGTAACACAAAACATTACCTGTGGTTCACGACATGTTACATATCAACTCAAGTTTTCCACACAGCAAAATTTCTTAGGATGATGTACATATCCCTGCCCCCCCCACCCATCCACCATCTAATGATATTAATATTGGGATTTTGTGCCCCTACAGGATCTGGTTCTCAAGAAAATCAGCATTCACCACATCCCTGAAAATCAGAGAGAGAGAGAAATGGGGTTTAACGTCCACTCGACACAAATAGATCATTTCGGGACTAACATATGGTTTAATTTTCTTATTTCAATAATTCGCTTGCGCATAGGGGTCTTTAGCAGTGGGAGGAAACCGGAGGACCCGGAGAAAACCCACGAGGTTGGACAGGCGACCCTACTCCTTGTCATGTACAACTGGGGAATTGAAACCCCGCCAGTTGACTCAATGACAGACTGTATGATACAGCGCGCGCGTGCTAACCATTCGGCCACCCCCCACCCACCCACCCCCGAAAATCAGTGGTCGCCAGATCCCTGCAAATCAGCGGTCACCAGATCCCTAAAAATCAAAGGTCACCAGATCCCTGAATCAACGGTCTCACCACATCCCTGTAAATGTAGAGTGGGGTATGGGTATGTAATAGTTCTAGTAACTTGAAAATATTAAAGCTACTAACATACAAATAACCTGGGTAGATGAGACTGATGGATTAATGTTGCATTTGGCGAAGGCAGCACATCAAGCCATGATGCTCCTAATGTTTCACACGGTAAGGTGTGTATTTTATTTGACACAAATTCTCACCATTTGTCCGCTTAATCAGATTTCAGAAATGAAATGAAATGGGGTTTAACGTCCTATTGTTTTGCTCCGAACTGGACTAATGAAGACAGGCATACGCCATAAAGTGTGCTATGAGGGAAATTTTGCCCTGACAGCAGCACTACAGCCTACTCTTATATCGAATTCCAACTGCCAAGGGATCTTTTACGTGCACGCCAATGTGTACACGGGACCTCGGTTTTTCGTCCCATCCAAACGACTAGACAGCTTTCCTTGTCAGCTCCTCCGTCCTGCATCACTGACAAGGGAGAACCACGCCGGAAAATCTGGATGAACTTTCTTGGCCAATGCAGGGATCGAACACCCGACCTCCAGGCTAGCGAGCCAGCTAATCAGATTTCAGGTAAACGAATTCTATGATATGGGGTATAACATCTTACTTATGCGCAGACAGAGCTAATGAAGACGAGCATGTGCCTTGTACTGTGTTATGGGGGAAATATTTCCCGTACAGTGGCATTACAGCCTACTCGTATTTCAAATCCACCCGACAGGGCTTCTTACACGTGCATGCCAACTTGTACATAGAACCATGTTTTTTTATCCCATCCGAACAACTATCCTGAGTAACTTTATCAGCCAACACCAGGATGGACCCCAGGATCCCCTGGTTGGCGACCCAGAACTATATTCAGCCAAACACGTAAAGAGAGAGAAAAAACGTCCACACAACACAAACTAGGTCATTTCGGGACTAACATATGGTTCAATTTTATTTCAATAATTCGCTTGCGCACAGGGGTCTAACTGGGGTTGGACAGGCGACCCTACTCCTTGTCACGTACAACCGGAGGAATCGAAACCTTGCAGTTGACTCAATGACAGACCTTATGATACAACGCCAACTCGCTAACCATGTAAAAGACATTTTGTGAATGACTTCATTACAATTATATTGGTCCAAAAGGCAAAATATTACAACAAAAAGAGTTTTGGATTTCTTTTATTATAATATCAATATGTATGCAATAACACAAAAACATTTTCTATAAAATAAAAAGAGAACAAATAAACGACGCTGCAGCTGAACAAAAACAAAATTAAAAGAAAAAGAAAACAGCATATAGCACTGTATTTAACTATGGTGATCCTGACATCTAACAAAAATAAAACAAGAAGAACTTGCGTCTGTAGACGAACAGGACCATCATATTAGATGAACCAGGGACCGACGATGATGTCATAGCAGCCATCTTGGAATTATAATCTCATATCCAAAATAGAAATCCTTCAATCTATGCGCAATTGTCCAAAGAACAAACATGCCAATTTTCATGTCGAACTTATTCAAATTAACATAACCTCAGGCTTTTTATGAAGATCGTCTTCTCCAAACACGAAAATCACCAAGTGTATGGAGCCAGATCCTGGTTTGAAAATGAATAAATTCAATGAAGAATAGTTCATAATTTGAATAAAAAAAATATACAGAAATTTTGCTTAACAACAAACAATTACTTTAATATGTACAGACCAAATGTCTTTGCATGTCATTGACTGAATAAAGCCAACTTTGTTACATGCTAATGTAGAACATTTTGTTCACAATGCATTTTAAAGCCAATAACATTCAAAGGTAGAAACTTTTCTTCAAAGATGCAAGATATTGCTAAGATTAATGTCTGATTCAATGACAATAGCCTCAGATGAAATAATAATAATCATTTTATTTGAGAAGGGTAAAGCCTCTCTACCATCCTGCCCTTCATGAAGTTATATAAACACATTCAGGCATTGATTTGTAATCAGTTATAGGTGATTAATTAGCAGGCTTCAAATGTATTTATATAACAAGCTCCATTCAAGCTTCCATTACAGTAGATTAGAAAGGGATTAGTCAAGAATCATTACAAACCACACAATGCTCATTCAGTGGTAACAATGACATATGTTGCAAATTAAGCATTCGGCAAACCTCAGCAGATTCCAGTACTCTACATCTAGCCGCGGCTGTATCACAAAGTCCGCCATTGGAACTACTTTCAAGTTCCCGCATTACCAACGGAGTCGCCCATGACGATGCTTTGAAGAATGTTTTATCATACAAATATTTCAAAGTCTGAAGATGTTTTTCTTTCAAGTTTATCCGATTTTCTTTAAACAAGGACAACTTTGCACTGAAAATTCTACACACTCTTCGAACGACGCAATTTTGAGAAATTCCTAATAAAGTAAACCGGTGCCACATCGCAAATGTATAGGTGTAGGTACATATCACTTACCATCATACAGCCAAGGCTAGATGTAGGCTACTGGAATCTGCCGAGGTTTGCCGAGTGGCAAATTAAACACCTTGCTAGGTACAAGGCAGATAACTCTTACATAATAATAATGTTTGATATAATACAGTTAACATACCAGGGAGCCCTGTTCAATAAAATATTATAAGGATATAGCTTTTTCATTGGTTATGAGCCAAAATTTGTATTATGATTTTAACTTTTAACCAATGAAATGGACCGCATCCTTATTTCATGAATAAGGCCTAGATGTATAGGCCTACCGTAGATGTGAAGATTTACCAATCTGAACAACAGAAAAATAAGTGAGGTCACTGGTTATAATAACTAAATGAATATTATGAACGTTGTCAAATATTGAGTATATATCTGGTAATACAGAACCACGAAAAAAAAATGCATCAATTTAAAAAACACAACAAAAATCTGATTAAAACACAGATCCTATTTCGTTTCGTTTTTTATAGTTCAAAATTTCGTTTTACTTGTCTTTACTACACTAGGATCTGAAAGAGTTGTTATCATTGGCATGTACTGAATGGTCTGAGAAATTAGCCAATGAAACAGTCTGTTACAGTGAGCTTTAGGCGTGTTTTGCACAGAACTTTGCTTAATCAACAAGTAACATCAATGCTGATTGGTTAATCAAATTTCTGACATCATAGGGTCAAAAGCCGTGCGTATGACCCTCTGACGCGACCTATCGCTACAACTTGGCAGATCTTCATGTAGTAGAGGCCATCGAAAGAATAAAAAAAACGAAACAAATAATAGATCTGTATTTGAATCCGACTGACACAACAATGATGTACCATTTTAACATAAAAAGCTAAAGTAATTAATTTCAAGTGAAATTTGGTCAGAATATCTGACATGTCGTAATACATGGATATACATATATAAAACCTGTGCATTACAAAACATCAAAAACATAACACAAGCACTCACAGTAAAAATATCATTAAATTCTCTGTCTGTCATTTGTAGGTATTTGATCAAGAATTTGATGTCAAGGAATTTTGGTTACATCTCAAAATAATTTCTCGTCAATGTTACATCCAAATTAATTATTAAAAATCTCAAGTTTAGATATGAGATAAGTACAGTTTATACATTTGTGTAAATATAGCCCCTCCCAAATCTTCAAACAACTTTCATTTCTTCTGCAACATTAAAAAATTGTGGTCAAAAATTATTTTGAGATGCAACCGAAATTCCTTGACATCAACTTTGTCTAATGGTTTGGATGCAGCTATGGCGGGTGTGGCACCAGGCTTACTCTTTCGGACACCTGTTACCACTGTTCATCATGTATTTTGTACATGGCCAACAGTCCATTTGCTGATTATAATATTTTGCTGATACAGATTTTTAGAACTTTGAATTTTGTCTAATAATAATGTTTTTTTTATTCCTATTTAGATATTCAACTTTCACAATATTGTAGTTTGCAAAGGATTCCGATATCGCTCAAATAACGCACAGAGATTTTAATAAATAAAATATGCATATTGAAAATACTTTAAAACTACAGCGCGGCAAAAAAAAATAATGTACTTTTTTTTCCAAGATGAGGTCAAGAAGAAAGTAGTAAAATATAACAATATATGAAGATGTAAAGTAATAATAAAATGAATTATAATATACAAGGGTATTAATACGAGACTTGTAACGGCAAAATGAGTCACAAGTCATTGTTAAAGATACATTATGTAAGATTTAGATAAAGATCTAGCCATTCTTACTTTAATAGTTCGAAAATAGATAATGTAAAATGGATAATTTGAAAATTTCATTCAAATTACTCTATTGCGAACGAAGATATTACCCTTTGAAGGTTTCACAAGACGTGTGCAATAATTTCAACCACCGTACTTGTTGTTTGAAGCTAAGTCTCGCTCCTACATTTTTAGCTTAAATCAAAATATGGCTGAACTGTTCTAATTTATTTAATATCAGAGAAATCTGATGCCATCGAGAGTTAATTATGGCCTGGATAATGTCTAATTAATAATTTAGAAAATAATTCTGGCCTAAAGAAAGACCTGCAATAGGCTGATTTAGCTCTTGCATAATGTATGTTTAACGATATATGAACAAAAAGAGTCAGACGTTGCAAGTCATTGTGTACAATATATGAACTAAAATGTTGAAATAAGCTAAAAATATTTTTAAAAATCAATTTTCTTTTTATGTCAAATATTAACTTTTGTGCTATATCATTAAAAACACATGTTTATCCTATTTTAACATTTTTGTTCGTATCATCAAAGAAATTTAATTTGCTTTATTTGTCAGTCTATACTTTTATCTTTCATGTTATATTATTAAAAATATATTTTTAGCCTTTTTAACTTTTTTGTTCATATAGTAAAAGACTTGTGATTAATGAACAAAAATGTCAAAATAATTTAACATCAGTTTATTTTATTTATCAAATATTCATTTTTACCTTTCATGTTTAGCTTTAGCCTATGTTAAACATACATTATGCAGGAGCTAAATCTGCCTATTGCAGGTCTTTCTTTAGGCCTGAAATGTTATCTAAACTATTAATTAGACATTTATTAACATGACAAGACCTTGATCAACTCTCGATTAGAACGGTTCAGCTATATTTTGATTTAATTTAAAAATGGAGAAACGAGGCTTAGCTTCGAACATCCAGTATGGTGGCTGCAATTAAGGCATACATCTTGTCAAACCATCAAAGGCTAATATCTTCACAGGCAATCGAGTAATTTGAATGAAATTTTTAATATATTAATTTTAAATTATCTATTTTCGAACTATTGTAGCAAGAATGACCAGCTCTTTATCTAAATCTTCATAATGCATCTTTAACATTTTTGTTCATATTGTAAAAAACTTGAGACTGCCGACTAATCTAAACTTTTACCTTTCGTGTTATATCACTAAAAAGATATTTTTAGTCTATTTTAATATTTTTGTAAAACTCTTGCGACTTCTGACTCATTCTGCTATCACAGGTCACATATACAGTACACATAGAAAATATGGGTTAACAATTTATTTACAAAAATAGATCTTCTCATTTCAAATTCACATTATATAGCGATCCATACAAAACAAACCTCTTCACAAAATAGTATTCTATATCCTCTCCTTCGTGTACGTAATACAAACCAATTCAAGTATTATAAATAAAAAATATAAGAAAAAAAAAATAAAGTGGAAAAAAAATCATGCATTATATATATATAATTTTGAAATACCAGTACCCAAGAGGTAACAAAGAAAGGGGCTGAACACGTGGGGTAATTGTTACCCAATAACCAAACGGCCAACAAACTTCCTTCGAATTGACTTGATATGTACACTACCCATTCTGACTAGGTATCGTTCTCTGCTATGTGTAAGGCTACGCATTGAGTCCAATCACTCAAAAAACGAATATAGGCTTAACACTATGAACTTTTTCTGTGCTTGTTGCTTTCACTTTAAAATTATGAATATCGTTTTCTTTACCCGGCATCAATACTGATTGCTCATTAACTTTTAGCAGGGATCGGGACTTCTTTTTTTTTTTCTTATTGAATATAAAACCACACCCCTCACCAAACTCGACATTTCTCTGGTGGATTCATATAGGAGGTATTAGCACATTTAAAAGCTTCAACAAATCCTGGAAGGTTTTGTAGTGTGCCCGTTACCCTGAAAAATCAACAACACATCCAAATGAATACATTACGTGGGTAAGACGCTGGCTCGCTAGCCTGGAAGTCGGGTGTTCGATACCTGCATTGGCCGAGAAAGTTCATCCAGATTTTCCGGCGTGGTTCCCCCTTGTCAGTGATGCAGGACGGAGGGCCTGACAAGGACAGCTGTCTAGTCCTTCGGATGACACGAAAAACCGAGGTCCCGTGTATACATTGGAATGCACGTAAAAGATCCCTTGGCAGTTGGAATTCGATATAAGAGCAGGCGATAGTGCCGCTGCCCGGGCAAAATTTCCCTCATAGCACACTGTATGGCGTATGCCCGTCTTCATTAGCCCAGTTTAGGAGCAGAACAGTAGGACGTTAAACCCCATTACATTTCATTTCATTTCCATGTAGAGAGGTTTTTCTGAAGTGTTACACTCTCGGTATCCCCAGTGGTGTCGTTCCATTCTACTCCACTTACCCCTGGCTCCATCCAAGGGGGAGACACATAGTCAAATTATCCCCCCTTGATATTTCTGCAATTTTCATCGACCAATCGAGAAATAAAATGAAATGGGGTTTAACGTCCTACTGTTCAGCTTTGACTGGGCTAATGAAGACGGCCATACAGTGTGCTATGAGGGGAATTTTGCACGGGCAGCGGCACTATGGCTGCTGGATTGCTAGTCTGGAGGTCACACATTCGATCCCTGCATTACATTAGCAGAGAAAGTTCATCAAGATTTTCAGACGTGGCTTCCCCTTGTCAGTGGTGCAGGACAGAGAGTCTGGCAAGGACAGCTGTCTAGTCATTTGGATTGGACAAAAATATGAGGTCCCGTGTATACATTGGCATGCATGTGAAAGATCCTTTGAATTCGATATAAGAATAGGCCATAGTTCCGCTGCCTGGGCAAAATTTCCCTCATAGCACACTGTATGGCATATGCCAATCTTCATTAGCCAAGTCAGAGCTGAACAGTAGGACGTTAAACCCCATTTGATTTGTTTTCGTCTGGACCCTGGCACTGCAGCAGTGCCATAAATACACAATTTAATCGAGTTTTGATGTGTTAATAAGCCATACCTGAATCTACCTGGACTGTGTACACCTGTTCTGATCCTGTTGATTGCTGCCTCCGGTCTCATCGTACCACACCATACCTAATATCATACAAATACATCAAATTATATAACTTCTATAACACACAATACAGGGGCGGATCCAGGAATTTTTGCAGGAGGGGGTTTGCCAGGTTCCTGTTAAGGAAATCCGTCATCATCGTCTCTAAATTATACATACGCTTTTTAAAGAGAGAAATCATTTTTGTAATGACGTAGGAACACATTGTGATTTAATTTCATTGATGCAAGGCATTCAAATTTTTTTATGTAGCTTGAGCAGGGTGGGGTTTGAACCCCCCAAACCCCCCCTCTGAATCCGCCCCTGCAATTCCTAATATCAGTACTTCTGTGGACCTTGGATTTTTCCCCATCCTAACAACTAAGCATGCTGACTAATATTTTATGAACAATTTCACATTAAGGTCACACCAATATGATTTTCTGGTCTTCGGGAATACCTATTTTTGTTTTAATTTCTTCAGGAAAGGTACTTGGTTGCACTGTTCAAAAACGTTTAGTTCCAATTTTTTTTAAACATCTTTCATGTGATTCATGTGGATATTAATTTATCAGGACTCGAAGAACAAAAAATTAAACTAATTGGCCTAAGATTTATTCTTGTAATTTTATAAAACTAGCGGATGTGCCTATAACTCCCAAACCAAAATTGGAAGGCCACGTCAATGGAGAACGCTAGATATGACGTTATATGTGGATTATGCGTTAGGGTTAGGCGGGGTCCAGGGTTAGGGTTAGGGCTAGCCCTGTTTACATCACAAGAGAGAGAGAGAGAAATGGGGTTTAACGTCCACTCGACACAAACTAGGTCATTTCGGGACTAACATGGTTTAATTTTATTTCAATAACCGGAGGACCCGTAGAAAACCCACGAGGTTGGACAGGCGACCCTACTCCTTGTCACGTACAACCAGGGAATCAAAACCACGCCAGTTGACTCAATGACAGACTTTACGCTACAGCGTGCACGTGCTAACCATTCAGCCATCCAACCCCACTTACATCTCAAGGCTTTGACGAATTCTGCAGGTCCTAACCCTAACCCACATAATTATGACGTCATATGTGCTAAAATGTGCAGGACCATCGTCGATTTATCGTTCTCCCACGTTACCAGATCTATAAAATAAATTTCAGCCGGGGACAGCCCTGGTGCAGCCGCCAACCCTGAACAGACAAACAGACAAATCAAGTAACCTATCTACTCCAGTGAACAAAATTCCATCTAGCGGATGACCTGACACTGCAGTAGTATATCCCCTGGAAGCAGTAGACCAAAGTCTTCAGACGTATGTTACTACCTGGTGCCGAGCTACCCCTATACACCAAATCTCAGCCTCGAGACAGTCCTTAGTGTAGCCGCCAACCCTGAACAGACAGACCAAGGACAGTCACAAATATTAGTAGGCCTATAGATGTACACGTTTAATAAAGATGGTTACCTGAGCAAAATTGAGAAAAAATAGTTGATAATTGTTAAGATGAGCTATGCCCGGTAAGTGTATTCGTTTCTCATGTTCATCATGTTCAACCATTTTTCTGTAAGCCTGGAAAAGGAAATGTTATAGTTTTCAAAATGGAGAGCGAAATAAAACAAAATACACAGAGACAGAACAGGATTAATTCTAAATCTATTTGTTAAGGCCAGCTCAATTTTCGTCATGGTCACTGAGATGTAAATAAGGATAGGCACATGATTGTTGGTGAGATTGTAGGTTAGGGTTAGGGTCAGCATTGGAGCTAGGTCCAGGATTAGGGTTAGGGTTGGAATTGCTGCTAGCCCCGTTTGTTTACATTTCGTGACCTTTGACCAAACTTGCAGTTGGCCGTATAAAATAGATCTAACTCACGATTATAGCAATACATGTAAGCATAGGTTAATTAATGAAGAGTTCCAGCCACTGACGGTCTGTGGACTCTCCCTTACAAAATTTTGAAAATTCAGGAAAGCGGATTTGGGGTGAAACAGCGCATGTATCAACTGCATATGAAAATATTTCAACCAACCATATTGGTTGTGTTTAAATACATCACGATTCAACTCACACATCGTCAGTTGTTGAGACTGATAGAAATGTGAAAAGATTGAATTCCGCGTTACTCAATTGCAATTCTGTCGATTCGGGACGCTCCGGACCAACTATCAAGCGTCCCCATTATAATGATTAAAGGGAGGTAAATACGCTATAGCTGTTCTACTATTTACCCTGAATGCTTCTTTCAATCCACCATTATCAGCAATATTTTCACCTTGTGTTTGAATACCATTCACCTAAAATAAAACGAAAAACACTTGTCAATATTGGCTCAGTGATTAAGGTGTTTGCTCGTTAACCAGAAGGTTGAGGATTTAATCCTGGCATTGGATGAGAAACTTCCACAGACAGTCCCCTTATCTGTGGTGCAGGACGGAGTACCTGGCAAGGAACAGAGTCTAGTTATTCGGATGGGATGAAAAACCTGAGTTCCTGTGCACACATTGTTGATATGTACATGAGAGAGATCTTGACAGTGGGAATTCAAAGAAGAGTAGTTGGAAGAGCTGCTGTTCGGACAAAATTTCGCTGATAGCACACTGCCACCATGGCTCCTTAAGATCCAATAAATTTGTAGATGGCTAATAGTATGGGACTGTATAGACCTACCTGTAGATCTGGGACTGTATAGACCTACCTGTAGATTGACTTCTGATACTGTATAGCGTATATACTATAGAGCTACCGTTAGATTGACCTATATACCTATCTGTAGATTGACCTCTGGGACTGTATATACCTACCTGTAGTTTGACCTCTGGTACTGTATAGACCTACCTGTAGACTGACCTCTGGTACTGTATAGACCTACCTGTAGTTTGACCTCTGGTACTGTATACACCTACCTATAGATTGACCTCTGGTACTATATAGACCTACCTGTAGATTGACTCGTTGAGACCTACCTGTAGATTGACCTCTGGTACTGTATAGTTTCCATATTGATCAACAATACACTGAGCCTGGTTCTTAAACGATTCTATAACTTCGTCATCCCACCATTGTATCAAATTACCATCTTTATCAAACTGACGTCCTAATATAAAAAAACAAACAGTTATATCATTTCATAAATTATGGTTAACATATGCTTAGGGCATGTCTCAATGTGATGTGGTATAGCGCAATATAGATTTTCATACCAGTCTATTGTCAAAATCACCAAAAGTATTTTAGAAAGTGACCAACCAGGAAAGATATGTTATACTGTAGTTAAGCATATTCTATATATCATCTCCAAAATTGAAGTGATGAAGAGAGGCCCTAGGCTATTCCAATAATGAGGTCCCTCCCATTTATGCAATCCCTGGCCTCACAGTTGAGCAAAGCTGAGGATGATGATGGTTGTTTAAGACTACAGAACATGAGAGAAAGGCTTATGACAGTGTCAAAAATATACACTATGATGTCATACACATTAAAATAAACAGAAACTTGCTTGTGACATTGTTGGTGTAAATAAATAGAAACTATTACCTCGATCATCAAAGCCGTGAGTGATTTCATGTCCAATAACCATTCCAATACCACCATAGTTTAATGATCTAAAATCAATAGTTTAAAAAATCAATAGTCAATCTTCAATCACAGCAAATCAATAGTTAATCATCAATCACAACAAAAAGTATTCAATTATAGTTATAGTATTCATGAAAAACATGCCCAGATATCTTCGATTGAAGCCACAAGTTCCAAAACAAAGTGCTACACGTCCATCTTTTAATATCAAACAGGTTGTTATGAAAGGTGATGATGATGATGATGATGATGATGATGATGATGATGATGATGATGATGATGATTGATGATGATTGATGATGATTGACTGAGTGATGATGATGAATGATGATGATGATGATAATGATACTTACTTGGGATAATCCTTGTTATAAAATGGTGGTTGTAGGATACCAGCAGGGAACACTGAAATATAATAAATACACAACTAAAATATAAATATTATGTAGTACTAAATAATATATCACATATACCATAAGTGTCTCAGTGGGTAAGGTGCTTGTCGGCTGATGACCTGCCGATCTCGGATTCACCTTGGTGTTGGCTGAGAAAATTCTTGAGATTTTACACTTAGTCTCCTCTTGTTAGGACAGAGGGTCTGACAAGGAAGGATCAGCATCTAGTCATTCGGATGGGGGTGCAAAACAAGGTCCCATGTACACATAGTCTCGGTCACCCAGAACCTCCTAGTCTTCAATGTACAGAGGGTCTGGGACCGTTGTCAATATTTGACGAAAAGTCCATTGCCCATGCGTAACCAGGAGTTTGGTTTTTAATGTGGTTGATTATCCAGTATCTTTGACCAAGTCAAGTAAGAGTTGCGGCCCTTCCCGCAATAAATCCCATAATTCTTGCATTGATATAAACAAACATGAATCGTGACGACAAATTAGGATTAATTTAAAAAACATAGCTATGGCCCATGAAGAGAGAAATATTACAATAAAAAAAAATTAAGAGTGTTGGATATTGAACTGGCATGCATGAATTAGTTGAAATGGCTTCATCGTCTTGTTTTAGAACAAGTTAACCCCCTTAGACGTTGTTTATGATTATGTAAAAGACCGGATAATCTAACCAATGACCTATTATTCTCAAATGTTGACAACACATCCAGACTAATATTCGTAGAATATTTTTCTGGATGATAGAGACTAATGTACACATTGGTGTTGGAATTTCCAATAAGAGTAGACCGTAGCACTGCTTTTCAGGCAAATTTTCCCATATAGCACACTGTACTGCATGGTGTATGCCCATGTTCATTAGCCTGATGCCCATTTTATTTCATTTCAGGTTAACTTTGGAACAAGATGAATTACTTACTAATTTGGTTTTTAGTCGAACTGTAGAAAGCATTGACAACTACTGGTGTTGTGGACCATCTGAAAAAAAAAACATGTTGTCACTTGTAAATTACACTCAAAGATGACAACAAACAATTCATGTTGTGTTAATAATTTAATAGCAATCTGATTAAAACACAGATCCTATTTCGTTTCGTTTTTATAGTTCAAAATTTCATTTTACTTGTCTTTACTAGGGGGGGTTGGATGGCTGAATGGTTAGCGTGCGCGTGCTGTATCATAAAGTCTGTCATTGAGTCATCTGGCATGGTTTTGATTCCCCGGTTGTATGTGACAAGGAGTAGGGGCGCCTGTCCAACCTCGTGGGTTTTCTCCGGGTCCTCCGGTTTCCTCCCACTGCTATAGACCCCTACACGCAAGCGAATTATTGAAATAAAATTGAACCATATGTTAGATCCTACTCCTTGTCATGTACAAGTGAGGAATCAAAACCACTCCACTTGACTCAATGACAGATTTTATAATGCAACGCACACTCATTAACCATTCGACCACCCAACCCCTCTCTCCTCGTTAGACAGCCAGCCTCTTACTCCCTGAGCCACTGTGGCTCCACCAATATTATGACATTAACCATACTTACTTTGTTTTATCGACAGGATCTCGTAATTTCTTTAAATTACTGATAGCTATACTACGAATATTAGCCAAGACATTCTCAAAATATTTATCTGGGTAAAACTCTACCTAAAATAAAAATACAAATATATAATTAGTTTCCAAAATGAAATCAAATGGGGTTTAACTTCCTATTGTTCTGCTCCAACTGGACTAATGAAGACGGGCATACGCTATACAGTGTGCTGTGAGGGAAATTTTGCCTGGGGCAGCGGCCCTATGGCCTACCTGTCAAGGTATCTGTTATGTGCACGCCAATGTATACACGGGATCTTGTTTTTTTGTCCAATACAAACAACTAGACAGCTGTCCTTGTCAGGTCTTCCGTCCTACACCACTGACAAGATGAAACCACGTCGGAAAATCCCGTTGAACTTTCTCGGCCAATGCAAAGATCGAACACGCGAACTCCAGGCTAGCGAGCCGGCGTCTTATCCACTTAGCCACAATTAGTTTCCAAATCTATTGAAAGCAATAGTAGGGTTCAAAAATAAAACATACAATTTATATTCCAAACCTATCTAAAACTATAGTAAGGTTCAAAATTAGAAATATACAATTTATATTCCAGACTTTTCTAAAGCTATAGTAGGGTTTAAAGTAGGGTTCACATTTTCACTGTCAAATTTAAAAAAATAAATAACGGAATATATAATAAGATTCTGAAACTTTAATGAAATATATATGATGAAGAGTATTGAGAGAATTGATCCAGTCAGTATACTTACATCATCATATTCTTCATCTAGAGCTGTATTATTTAATATGTAGTCAGGATAACCAATTTTCTCAGCAATACTCTCAGCCTATATAATATATAAATAAACACAGTCAGCAATACTCTCAGCCTATATAATATAATAAACACAGTCAGCAATACTCTCAGTCTATATAAATAAACACAGTCAGCAATACTCTCAGTCTATATAAATAAACACAGTCAGCAATACTCTCAGTCTATGTAATATATAAATAAACATAGTCAGCAATACTCTCAGTCTATGTAAATAAACACAGTCAGAATACTATCAGCCTATCTAATAATTAAACAAAGTAAACTTTGTTTAATGTTTTTACTACAGTTGTTCTTTCCTGAAAGATGAAATCGAAAAAGGTTGAACTTGAAAAATCCCAGAGATTCCTCTAAACCCAATTCCGGGATAAATATTCCACTTAAGACTCTAGTGCCCAATATGGTTCACATCATGGGGGTTCTATCATAAGACATGTTTTTTTTTTGGTTTTTTTTTTTTTTTGGAGGTTTTTTTTCACATAATTGAAATCCTAGTTTACTTCTGCATTGACTGTGAAAGAAATTTTGTCTAAATCGAGGCATTTCCGCTTTCTCTTCATCGAATTAAAATTCTTAGGGGTTCTTTAACCTGCACGCCAATGTGTACATTCAAACAACTAGACACTATTTGCAGGGTCTCCGTTCTGCACCACTGATAAGGGGAAACCAAACTCAAAAATCATGAGGTCAACACCTAGATTAAACCTATGACCTTCTGGTTCTTCTAGTGAGTGAGCTAGTGCCTCACTCAACGAATCACACGGCTTCCACGAGAAACAAAAATATTTCTACCTTTTCTTTTGCTACGACTCTCGTCTTCTCATCCATCCAATGTGCTTCTGTTAATAATTCATAAAATGATTCTCTAATATTATGGATCATTTCTAAAGCCTGTAAAATAAATACTGCTATATCAGTGACCGACTTTGTATAAATGCCACTATAAAACTGACCGACTCTGTCTAAATATCACTGTATAAGTTACCGACTCTGCCTAAATACCACTATATAAGTAATACAAGTGACCGACTCTGTATAAATACTACTGTATGTATTGGATGATCTATAAATTTATGCCAGGGTAGGTCATTTGTTAATTTTTCTTTTTTTTTTTTTTTTAATAAACAGTATTTTATTTAGGATGTCTGAATGGGATAGGGGAACAGGCTTAGCCTATGTAAAAAGAGAGAGAGAGAAATGGAGTTTAACGTCTAGTCGACACAAACTAGGTCATTTCGAACTAACATATGGTTTAATTTTATTTCATTAATTCGCTTGCGCGTAGGGGTCTTTAGCAATGGGAGGAAACCGGAGGACACGGGGAAAACCCACGAGGTTGGACAGGCGACCCTACTCCTTGTCACGTACAACCGGGGATTCGAAACCACGCCCACTGACTCAAAGACAGGCCGTATTATAAAGCACGCATGTGCTAACCATTCGGCCACCCAACCCCCTTAGCCTATGTAAAACCCCTCTCCCTAACGGGTAGAAGAAAAAAATGTTTGGGGTTTTCTTTCAGCTTTTGAATAATTTAGGCAGGATTAAATACATCCTCTATACACAAAATCTGTGAATGAAGATTCCCCAGTTGAAAGTGACAAGGAGTAGGGTCGCCGGTCCAACCTCGTGGGTTTTCTCCGGGTCCTCTCTCTCTCTCTCTCTCTCTCCGGGTCCTCCAGTTTCCTCCCACTGCTAAAGACCCCAACGCACAAGCGAATTGTTGAAATAAAATTAAACCATATGTTAGTCCCGAAATGACCTAGTTTGTATCGAGTGCACGTTAAACTCTCTCTCCCTCTCTCTCTCTCTCTCCCTCCCCCTCTCTCTCTCTCTCTCTCTATCTCCCTCCCTCCCTGTGAATGAAAATTGTATAAATAATATCATTACTTACAATACTTTTAGCATTTTCATCAAAATGTTTCTCTACGAATAATCGGCCGACAGCGTTACCAACATTATCAATAACATAACCAACACAGTCACGCCATCTAGCACGTTCTGCTTCAGATCCAAATATAGTCTGCAACAAAAAAACGATTCTTCTAAACCCAATGACAGGATGGAACATGGGAAATTAAATGAAATGAAATGGGGTTGAAGGGACTACTGTTCTGTACCGACTGGGCTAATGAAGTACCGACTGGTCTAATGAAGTACCAACTGGTCTAATGAAGATGAGCATACAGTGTGCTATGAGAGAAATTTTGCCCTGTCAAGGGTTCTTTTACATGCACGCAGGCATATGCACTAAATCCAATGAGCAACTCAGGAAAAAAAGAACTGAGTCACAGTGAGAAATGTTTCATTCTAACATGTCGTAATATAGATATGTGGGGGGGGGGGGGAGGTCAAGTTGTCTAATGCATAGATTTTAGATCATAAGCTCTGTAATTGAGTCAAGTGGGGTGGGTTCGATCCCAAGCTTATACATGACAAGGAATATGGTTGTCTGTTCAACCTTGTGGGTTTTCTCCAGGGACTTCGGTTTCTTTCCACTACACGCAAGCAAAACATTAAAATAAAATTGTACCATATGTTAGTCCCAAAATGACCCTGTTGAGTGAATGTTAAACCTCCTAGGACTTCGGTTTCCTCCCACTACATGGAAGCGACACATCAAAATAAAATTGTACCATATGTTAGACCCGTAATAAACTCGCTGAGTGGATGTTAAACCTCTCTCCCCCTCTAATACCATTCAGTTTTACCTACCTTGTAATAATCTTTTCTAATAATTCTAAATTTATCCGGTAGGTTAGTCACTCGGTTCATCATAATTCTCCAAAACAAATAATTAGCCAAAACTCTGAAATAAAACATAAGATCATATGATATACTCAATTTCAACAATTTATTTTTTTCCTTATGAAACAGATCTGTTTATTTTTCTGTATATGTTTGTCTCATATTTTGTATTACTGTATTAGTTCGAAACGTTGAGACAATACACTTTGAAACATTGAATGAAACAATATTCTTCGCAACGTTGAGACAATACACTTTGAATCGTTGAGACAATATTCTATATTCTTTGAAATATTGGAACAATACTCTTTGAGAAATTGGAACAATACTCTTTGAGAAATTGAGACAATATTCTTCGAAACGTTGAGACAATATTCTTCGAAACATTGAGAGAATAATCTTCAAAATGTTGCCTAAATAAATTAGTATGTTTTACAGTTTATTGCTCAACCCAGTTAGAAAATGGCCGAAAGTGGAAATTCAAATACACCTTTTCAAGTCTAGACCAAAAATTCAATAAAAATTGCTATGCAAAATGCATGCAATAGACGAAATGTGACAAAATCAACAGTCTCTTTGATATGAAAAACATATCCATATATAGACAACTGGATCATGTGTCATCAAATTACTATGGTGACAAGATATTCCATAGGCCTACTCCTAATTTAATTGTCATAAAATGTCCAGGGGCCTTATTCACAAAAACTTAAAAAAAGAAAATAGTTTAAGAATGTCTCCTTTTCATTGGTTGTGGGTTAAAATCCAACTACAAATTTCACCTCTTAGCCAATGCAAAGCCTGCTTTTGAAAGTATTTGAATTTTAGTTTTCGCTGAACAAAGGCTCATGAATAATGACAAAGACACATTTTCTACCTTTTTTCAGTTCTGTTGATAAGTTTGACCATGTTTTCCAGATAGTCCGGAGCATAAACAACCAGTTCTTCCGTTTCGTTTATAGAAATATTAACAGATTTAAACACAAGCTGTAAATATCTCAACCAATCAAACTGAAGAAAATAAAATCTTAAAAAATTATACAGGAATAATTAAATTCTATTGTTATAAAAGGGGGTTTTAAAGTTCATGTTGATACTTTACCTGAGGGAAGGTAAGAAAAACTGTGGTTCATTCAAGTATTTGTTGGTGGACAAGTAACTTAACCCTTTACAGTTGGAAATTTTCCCACTAAGCACACTACATGGCGTACGACTGTAATCATTAGACCAGTGAATGTAGAGAAGTAAACAGTTAAACCTTATTTCAGATGGACCTCCTTGTTAATAAGCTAGCACCTTCACCCACTGAGCCACTGTGACTAGGACCTCCTTGTTAATGAGCTAGCACCTTCACCCACTGCGCCACTGTGACTAGGACCTCCTTGTTAATGAGCTAGCACCTTCACCCACTGCGCCACTGTGACTAGAACCTCCTAGCAAGTGAGCTAGCACCTTCACCCACTGAGCCACAGTGACTAGCCCCTTCATCCACTGAGCCACTGTGACCAGGACCTCCTTGTTAATGAGCTAGCACCTTCACCCACTGCGCCACTGTGACTAGAACCTCCTAGCAAGTGAGCTAGCACCTTCACCCACTGAGCCACACTGACTAGCCCCTTCACCCACTGAGCCACTGTGACCAGGACGTCCTTGTTAGTGAACTAGCACCTTCACCGACAGTGCCACTGTGACCAGGACCTCCTGGTAAATGAGCTAGCACCTTGACCCACTGAGCCACTGTGACTAGCACCTTCTGGTAATTGAGCTAGCACTTTACCCACTGGGCCTCTCTCATTGTCTCAACAAATAATAGAAAGCACCGTTTCTGCTAATTTGTATATGTGCACACGCAATTGCAACGAGCATACAAAGGGAACTACTAATATGTGCACATAGACTTTAGACCATATAACTAATGTATTTGTTGTTGGATATCGCCACAAGTATGCAGTTTTACTTGTTTTATATATAAACATTAATTAACGGCCAATACAACATGACAGACAGGCTGTGCCAAATTTATCTTAAAACAATTTAATGGTTACAAGTTAAAACTTTAAATATATATAATATATAAATACATACCCCTGGAATTCTCTCGGATAATTCTTTGATGGTCATTCTATTATACAGTTTTTCATTGTCTCGTCTCTGATCCTGGGGTATTGTTAGCTGAAATTAACAAGAACAATATGTAAATATCCATCCAAATACACACCTTAAAGGGCCAATCTCGATTATATTATGGAGAATAAAACAGCTTAATTTTGCATTAAAAGCCCTTCAAATCCTCTACCATAGGGCCGAGCAACTAACTCAATATATGTGATAAGTTTTCAAACAACTTAAATCTGTCAGTCTTCATCTCGAAATGGAGACCGGTGTCCCAAACTGTATTATGTGGTGTCTGGATAAAACCAGACTTTTATTTTATAAAAATAACGTGTAGCTGAAATTTGCCTTTCGTATAGACCTATCGGAAAAATTGACCGGAAATCTTAAAAGGGTTACAAGTTTTGACGTTCACGTCTAAACAAGTCAATACTTTGAGCTGAAAGTTTGAGACACGGTAATTACATCATTCCTTTACATTTTGGCGTTTAAATTTCAAACGTACAGATTTTTATTTCCGAGACTCTGTTAAAATCGAGATGGTCCCTTTAACTATACTATTATTAAATCTATGTAAGATGTAATAAAAAGATTCATTTTATTGGGAAAACTACATGCCTTGCCCCAGACACAAACAGTAGTTAACACAACAAAACAATATTTGGAAGTTTGCTATGCTGATTGAATCATCGATGCTATATTAAAATACCCTTTTATAAAGATGATAAACAGTATTTAGACAATGTCATCATCAACTATTCTTATCATAGAGAGAGAGAGAGAGAGAGAGAGAGAGAGAGGGTTTAACGTCCAATCGACATAAACTAGGTCATTTCAGGACTAACATATGGTTCAATTTTGTTTCAATAATTCGCTTGCACTTAGGGGTCTTTAGCAGTGGGAGGAAACCGGACGATCCGGAGAAAACCCATGAGGTTGGACTGGCGACTCTACTCCTTGTCACGTACAACCGGGAAATCAAAACCACACCAGTTGACTCAATGTCAGACCTTATGATGCAATGCACACATGCTAACCAATCAGCCATCCACCCCCTCATCAAGAAACGAAGATAGGTAATTATTAACATGAACTTGAAGCCAATATAAACAATATTAAGCAGGTGTTCCTATTTTACATTATATTAGTGTGGTAATTATAAATATTATTCAGAATATCATGAAAGCTACAAATCAAATTATCAAGAAATTGTTTTTTGCCGCAGTCTGGTAATATTAAAGGGAATGGAAGCTTTTTAACCATATTTCCTTGGTGACCTAATTTTGACTTTGGCTAAAATTGTCTGACAGGTGAAATTCTGAAAGCAAAACCCTGGTAATAGACCTATCAACAAATGTATGCCAGTTAATAGTCAATATCTGTTAAAATAATCAATCAATCAATCAATCTATCAATTATCAATTTTTCTAACCTATCAAGCAATTATTAAAGTTTTTGATCAATCAATCAATAACATGTTAAAGTGTTTAATCTATCAATCAATCAAACGGTAAAGTTTTTAATTAAATGTTAAAGTTTTTAATCAATCAATCAATCAACTGGTAAAGTTTTTAAATAATCAATCAATCAATCAAATGGTAAAGTTTATAGAATGAAACCAGTCAAACCATGAGCTTGAACCCTATAATAGGGTATTTTAAGGTCCATGCTGTGACTTACGTTGGCTATTTCTGTTTCTAGATCTATCATTAAAGCAATATCCCTTTCAGCAATGGTTTTATTGGCACCAAGTAAAGCAGCTACTTCCTGCGCAAATTTCTCGTAAACTAATACAGCTTTATTGTTTCTTCCTTTTAAATAATAATCTCTAGATGGCATACCTAAATCGGGTTGATCCAGCTGAAATTATATAATTAAAAAACATTTAATTTTATTTCATGTGTCAGGCACGAAACAAGGTAGATCACCTTTCTAGAACTGACATTGATACCTAAATTGGGTTGATCCAACTGAAATTATATAATTAAATAATTTTATTTCATGTGTCAGGCACGAAACAAGGTAGATCACCTTTCTAGAACTGACTAGTTGATATTTGATGTCTGATTCCATGGTAGTTATATCCTAGACAAACATCTTTGTAGATTACCCTGCAGAAAAGTAGGACATTAAACCCCATTTCATTTCATTTATTCTGGCATGGTTGGGGCTTTACGTAAAATAAAATCGAGGATGCAAGAGACCCACTTACCTATTAAATATTTACAACTCAGTGTGAGAGAGAGAGAGAGAGAGAGAGAGAGAGAGAGAGAGAGAGAGAGAGAGAGGGTTTAAACATCCAGTTGACACAAAATGGGTCATTTCGGGACTAACTAAATTATATAATTAAGAAAGTTTTTTGTGATATCATGTGTACTGCACATTTAACGTCTACTTGACACAAACTAAGACATTCGAGGACTGACATATGGTTCAATCTATTTCAATAATTTGCTTCAGTAGTGATTGGAAACCAAAGGACCTGGAGAAAACCCACAAAGTTGGACAGGTGACCCTAGTCCTACTGTTTAATAATTTATTTCAATAATTTACTTTACCAGTGACAGGAAACTAGGGAGGACCCGGAGAAAACCCACAATATTGGACAGGCGACCCTACTCCATTTCACATACAGTAAAATATAGACGAAAGAGAGAGAGAGAGAAATGGGGTTTAAACGTCCACTCGACACAAACTAGATCATTTCCGGACTAACATATGGTTTAATTCTATTTCAATAATTCGCGTGCGTTTAGGGGTCTTTAGCAGTGTGAGGAAACCGGAGGACCTGGAGAAAACCAACGAAGTTGGACAGGCGAATATAGACCTACTCACCTGTATAATATTAACATCTGAGTTTTTATCATCAGCACTAACCCACTGATCAACTAATATTTTATTATTATACAAACGTAATTTAATTATCAGATCAATCAAATCAAACTCTTCTTCTTTCCAACTATCACCAACAACAGCAGGCCAGGTACCAAGTTCATTAAGTAGATTCAATATTGGTTCCAAACCACGCTGATCAATTAAAGCTAGAAATAAATCAAAGATGCATTCATTATATCAGAAGTAAATCTGACTATTGCAGGTGTTTATTTCGGCTTCAAACATTTCCCCAGCATCAAATAGAAACAATCAAAAGAACGGATGGTGATTAATGTCATTTATTCTATAACTACATGCAAATACAAGCAAATATCATTGAATACAGCCATTGAATACAGCCATTAAAAAATCTATGGTTGTTTTCAATGGCTTGGGCATGTACTACTTTTGTCCAGAATGATGTCACTTTCAGAATTACGTCAAACTGTAATGACGTCAACACAAGCAACCACAATTTTTGTAAAAAAAGAAAGAAAAATGGGCGGAACCTATGATGAATTTTAACGTTATTGGTGATTTTATTTTTTTTTTTTTGGATAATCTGGATAGTACCGTGTATTTACAGATTTACATATAGTTATAGAATAAAAACAGAACTCAATGACCATTGAATACCACTTGGGTTATTCAATGGTTCACTCAAGTGTATCCCTGCCACTTTGCGCAGGAATACACTCTCTTGAACCATTGAATAACCCGCGCGGTATTCACTGGTCATTGAGTTCTATCTATTTATTTATGATTAGGAAGATGGAATATACGTTTGGTAATATATATAAAAATAGTAAACATAATATAAATATAAACATTTAAGAATAAAAACTAAACTCATCTTAAAACTTTGGTTGGGCGTAATAAAATTAAGAATAAATGACCAAGCACATCACTTATCACTGGGTGAAGTGGTTTATTTGAAGTGGGGTGAAGTGGGTAGATGAAGTAGGGTGAAATAGGTGGATGAAGTGGGGTGAAGTGGGTGGATGAAGTGGGGTGAGGTGGGTGGATGAAGTGGGGTGAGGTGGGTGGATGAAATGGGGTAAAGTGGGTGAATGAAGTGGAGTGAAGTGGGTGGATGAAGTTGGGTGAGGTGGGTGGATGAAGTAGGGTAAAGTGGGTGGATGAAGTAGTGTTAAGTGGGTGAATGAAGTGTGGTGAAGTGGGTGGATGAAGTGGGGTTGGGTGGATTAAATTGTTAGGGTGGGATCCAAGACTTTTCAAACATTTAACTTACTTTCATTGGTACAGGATACATAAAGATATTTAGCTTTTTTCATGGCAGCGCTATCTTTGTCACTCGGTGGTTTATTTAACAAATCTAAAAATAAAATATTCAACAAGTTTAAAATTCTACTAATATTCCATTTCCTAATAATGATAACATTTCCTTATATGGAAACAGGAGCCACGTTGGCTCATTGAGTAAATCACTACTGGCTCGTTAGCCTGGAGGTCCTCAGTTCTATTACGGTGTTGGCCAAGAAATTCCTCAGGATTTTTTGTTGTGGTTTCCATTTGTCAATGGTGCAAGTTCTGGCAACGAACAGCATCTAGTTATTCGGATGGGATGAAAAACCGAAATCCCATATACATGATGGCGTGAATACAAAACAACCCATGACAGTTGGAATTCGAAATAAGAGTAGGCTGTAACACCACTGCCCAGACAGAATGTCCCCTCATAGCACACTGTATTATGTATAATCATTTTCATTAGCCTGAATAGTGCAAAAAAGTAGGACGTTTCATTTCTTTATATGGAGACACATCTTTATTTCAACCAGGACTCTTGTTTGACAAGCCAGGAAATTATCTACTTTTTATTACATAATCAATTTGACTACATTCCAGCCTGGATTACGCTGTAGAATAATTTGATTATTGAAGTTCAGATAATTAATATAGGGCTGTTGTTACAGTCATATTGACCAGTCTTGACTGACTGGTGGCAAAATTGACCAGCAGGTGAACTTACCTGTTAGTCAATTTACATAATCTATAAAATTAGACTTTCAAAGAATTTAACTTTAAAACTCAATAAATGCAGTTAAATTAATAGTTTTTATGTGGACAAACAATGAAATATATAAAAATATTATAAATGGGATATTGTTAAATAATGGCACATTATTTGGGACAAAAAACAAAACAAAATATGGCAAAATTTGACTGGCTGGCAAATTTTTTAAGCAAAAGCCTTGGTTTAAAGAAACCGCCCGTCCACACCTACATTTGTTACATGCTGCACATGTATCAAATACCTCTCAAATATATTGAAATGAAATGAAATGAAATGAAATGAAATGGGGTTGTAAGGGTTTAATGTCCTACTGTTCTGCTCCGACTGGTCTAATCAAGACGGACATAAGCCAACAGTATGCTATGAGGGAAATTTTGAACAGGCAAAGGTGCTAGGGCCTACTCTTATATTGAATTACAACTGCCAAGGGATCTTTTATGTGCATGCACAAGACCTCATTTTTTTTCATGGCTCCTCTTTGGTTTAAAGAATCCACCTGTTCCACACCTCCTTTTGTTAGACACAACTCGTGTATCAAATACTTCTCAAATGTAATCTACACTGATGCCTAATCTCCAGTTAACTGGCTCAATTATGGCTAATGTAATTTTATCTCTATATAAATTGGACATATCTTTATTCAAGGTCAATTTGGCCTTTTTACATTTGCAAGCTGTAAACAAGCACGACCATTATTTTGTTTTTCTAGCATTAGTGTAATCTCTGGATAATTTCCCAAAGTATTCTGGACATTCTTTAGAGTACCGCCTGCAAATGTCAAAGATTATCTAGGATTGATAGTTCATCAGTGACGTCATGTTTTATGGGAGAAGACGAGCTGTGAAGAATTAATTCTGCCGTTTTCCTAAGATACAGTCTGAGAGAGATTAAAGACATCTGTCCCCTTATCTTGCCACAGAATTATATATATGTTTTATAATTCTTGATACAACATTTAATAAATTTTAATAGTTTTATAATTTCTAACTGGGTGTTTCAAGATACTGTGATGGTAAGGTCCTTCAGATATTACAAGATTCTGAAGTTGTTCTTTGACATAAACATGCATTTTTGTAATCATGTACAATATAAGAAATAAAACAATGGTAAATAAAACGATTAATAGATTAATCATACGATTGGCATGTACACAAGACAGGCCATATTGGCAGTTACTTGCTATCTATAATAGTTTTATAAACAATAATGGATTATAATAAATTAGCATGTGATTAGCATTACATAACATTTCATCCTTGGCTAGTCACCTTTAATAGCACACACACAATTAATGTTTTAAAGGAACAGAATAGTTTTTGTCCTGAAAGTTTAAATAAATTCAATTTGAAGGATTTCACTTTTAAAATTAATAATGTATTATCTTGCCGTCCCTTTTCTCGTATCCAGTATTATCTTAATTATTCAAGATTTAAATTATTACATATAACTAGTATAGGTAAGGGATAAATCTGCATATTGTAAGTCTTTCTTTTGTCTTCAAATGTGATATAAATTATTATTTTGACATTTATTCAGGCGACAAATAAACCCATAATCAACTCTCTATGGATTAGAATGCCAGCGAGATTTCAAAATTTACCAATTAAATCGATAATTGAGAATTAGTCTTGGTTATCAAGTACCATTGCTATACTAATAAATGATATGTGCTACCAATCTGTTTTACAGACCTAATGCGACATCCGTCTTTTATCTCTGTCCAAGATGACTGACCTTTAAAAGGTCAGACCGCTGTAGTTCTAAGGGTGACGTCACATCACAATGTTTACCAACAAAGAAAGATGGCATCGATAACGCCAAAAAAGATTACTTCTGTGGCTTGTTTTTGTTGTTTTAAAACAAACACGAGCAGGTCAATCAGATTAGACGGTAAAAAATGTACTTCTGAAAGAATTCAGAGTAAACAAACAGAAAAAAACGTTGTTTACATCGAACGTAGTAATATGAACTGGTACGGGCAAAATTATATCGTTTTACCCATTTTACGCCTCCGCGTACTATTTTCTGTACCTATTTACGCTAAATATGGAATATTTTTTATAAAGATATACTTCAAACACATTTATTTATTTTTCTAATACTAAAAAAAAATGTTTCAGAATTTAATTTGTCGAAAGAAAAAAGTTAATATTTTGTAGTCATTAAGTCGCATCGATGTCATCCTTATCAGTGATTGTAGCGGCCAAGCGAATATTCACTGCGGATCAGTGTGATGTGCTACATCTTCAAACTGTCATAACATCATAAAGTCATTTGAATGAATTTTCAATATTTCCGTTTTTCATTATCTATTTTGAAACCGCTACAGCAAGAATGACCAATTCTTAATCTAAATCTTTTAAGCATTGTATTATGTTGAATGGACGATAAAACATATTTCTCTCTCTCTCTCGAAGAGAAATGAGGTCTAACCTCCATGACACATTAACAGAACACTTGTCCAAATATCATGCTTTTAGAATAAACCAGTGATTGTTTCCCATAAAAAGTGTGTTCTGTTAATGTGTTCCCCAATCGCTAAATGCCACTTAAAGATTATCCATGACACATGTTAAAACCCATTTCTCTCTCTGAGAGAGTGAGTGAGAGAGAGAGAGAGAGAGAGAGAGAGAGAGAGAGAGAGATCAGGTTTAATATCTTCGACACAAATTAGGTCATTTTGGGACTAACATATGGTTCAATTTCGTCTTTTTTTTTTTCAATACTTCACTTTTAAGGGTCTTTAGCAGTGGAAGGAAATCGGACCCTGAGTTCACATAGCATACTCAGACTTTATTTAAGAATTTACTCAACTTTCAATCACGGTTTATAAGAAATATCTTTGATCCAGAAAAACAAAACTTTGTGCCTAGTTTCTTATTGATGTATTTGATACATTAAAACAATAAAAGTTTTATAAAAGGGCTATATTTTAGTTAAAATAAGGTGAACAATTTTGAGTAAATTCTTAATTTAAGTCTGAGAATGTTTCCTGAACTTGGGGCCGGGGCACCTGGAGAAAACACCTGTGGGTGGACAGATGTTCCTACTCCTTGTCACGTACAACCGGGGAATCGAAACCTTCCGGTTGACTCAGTGACAGACCTTATGATACAGCGCGTACGGCCATACCGTTCAATTTATATAAACTTGGGTATAGTGCTGGTCCGCTAACTTGAGGTATGGAATTTGACCGCGGTGTTGACCGTGAAATGAAATGAAATGGAGTTTAACGTCCTACTTTTCTGCTCCTAACCTGGGCTAATGAAGACGGGCATACGCCATACAGTGTGCTATGAGGGAAATTTTGCCCTGACAGCGGCACTACGGCATACTCTTATATCGAATTCCAACTGCCAAGGGATCTTTTACGTGCACGCCAATGTGTACACAGGACCTCGGTTTTTTGTCCCATCCGAACGACTAGACAGCTTTCCTTGTCAGCCCCTCCGTCCTGCATCACTGACAAGGGAGAACCACGGTTGACCGTGAAAGTTTCCCGGGAAGTTCCCTGTGTTGACTCAGTGACAGACCTTATGATGCAATGCACACAACTAACCATTCGGCCAAATCTACTACCAATAGATGCACCATAGAACTTCATTGGATCATTAGATTTAAAACCCTTCCTCCATACGGTATCAATGACAAAATCTGAACTTGGGCACCCCCCACATTTTTTTTGGTTTTTTTAATGAATTAATAACAATATTGCCTCATTAACTTTAAGTCAAAATTCTAAACGAAATCTCATCTAGCTAACATAATAAAGTTGAAATTTGTGTGTGTGACAGACCAAGCATGACAAAAACAAGATTATTATTATATGCAACTCGTGCAAAATGCGTTCGTTATTGCTATAAACTAATAACCGTTTTTATCTTGACCCGTCTGCCATTTAAACAGATACCCAATAACCGTACTTGGAATTTAATATGCTCGGAGATTATCAACGACAACGGGATGCAATTACCTAACGACAAAACACAGCCTATTTCAAGTAGATGAAGTAAATGTGATCACAAAGTTGACATCACCGTTCACTCGTTAACAGGAAATTAAAGCGAGGCAAAGAGCAGAAGCGGTTATCTCTTTAAAATTGCTTCAGAACATTTAATTGGACAGGCTGAAGAGATACTAATTGGTCTGAGTTTCTGCAAAATCGTTTACCTAAATTGAGAGCAACTTGCAGTCTTTGTACGAAAACAAAGGTCATGTCTTTGAAACTCAGCGACAACTTAGATTAAATCGAACAATAACATTATAAGCATGGAACTCTCTGTCTCGTGTAGATGAGCAGCTGTATTTCTGTAATCATGACAGTCAAGGGCTGCCACATGAGTAAGGTCCTCATCATTAAATATTATTTTTTTTTAAAGAGAAGTGGCACAGTTAGATTATTTTATGAAGAATCGTAAAAAATTCTTATCTAATTAAAACTATAGTCTTTTGTTGACACAATGGTTAGACCAGCCTCTACAGAATGAGAGAGAGAGAGAGAGAAATGGGGTTTAACTTCCATTCGACACAAACTAGGTCATTTTGGGACTAACATATGGTTCAATTTTATTTCAATAATTGGCTTGCGTATAGGGGTCTTTAGCAGTGGAAGGAAACCGGAGGACCCAGAGAAAACTCACGAGGTTGGACAGGCGACCCTATTCCTTGTCACGTACATCAGGGGAATCGAAACTACGCCACTTGACTCAATGACAGACCATATGATGCAACGCGTACACGGTTAAAAAATTCAGTCACCCCCCCCCCCCCTATAGGTATTAAAGATGGTGGGTATGCTTTTTCTAATAATCTAATAAGGTCTGTCTTAGAGTCTAGATGTGACTGACCTCCTACTGCTAAAAGACCCTGCGTGCAAGCGAATTAGTGAAATCAAATTGAATCATCTGTTAGTCCCGAAATGACCTAGTTTGTATCAAGTGGATGTTAAACCATATTTCTTGTTGTCTGTCATTAGAGAATAAGACAGGTTGTAAGATTTAAACATACCACAACCTATCCATCTATAAGTTTTACACCTGTTAATCTCTCTTGATAGTTTATATATACAAAACTTTTATATACATTTATATATACAACATCATACATATTGTATAATATCATATCATAACAAAATTTGTAACATGGACGGGAAACCTTCCTTTGTTCTTTTCATTGAATAAGCAGTTTGTTTTCCCTCTAGTAGATTGGGTGGAGTTTAACCGTCCAATAACTAGACATGTTCAATGTTATTGCACTCTTTTGCTGGTTTACACTAGTTTTAGTAGAAATCATATAGAGAAGTGGGGTGGGTTTTCTGTGCAATAACAACAAGCATGTTTAGCAGGTGTCAATGTTACAAGTCATTTATAGCACGCTTCATTCGTTAACAGGTTTAATATCTCGGCCTACTGAGTCAATGTTTAAACCTGTTAACTCATGAAAGCCGTGCTATCAATATAACTTGTAGCCGCTTTGCTTTTAAAGCAGCAAGTGAGAATCATTTGTTGTCATTAATCAGCTTCAATTATACTAATTGTTGAGAGAGAGAAATGGGGTTTAATGTCCACTCGACACAAACTAGGTCATTTCGGGACTAATATATGGTTCAATTCTATTTCAATAATTCACTTGCTTGGTTTCGAATCTCCGGTTATACGTGACAAGGAGTGGAGTCACCTGTTCAAACTCGTGGTATTCCTCCAGGTTCTCCGGTTTCCTCCTACTGCTAAAGACCCCTACGCACAAGCGAATAATAGAAATAAAATTAAACCATATGTTAGTCCCGAAATGACCTAGTTTGTGTCGAGTGGACGTTAAACCCCATTTCTCTGTCTCTCTGAACACCAAGAGCGTTATGTATATCACTGAAAATTTATAGGCCACACATCATTAAAAAATTAAATATCATTGTACATGTGGATATACAAACCTTTCACCATGACTTGAATATCATCTCGAAGCTTTCCAAAAGTATTATAACTTGCTCGGTCATCAGGAATAGCATTCACTTTATTCCAATTTCCGCAAGCATAATCAAAAAAATTTTCACAAGGATCAACAGAATCGTCCATGGCATTCATTAACCGAGCAGCTGAAAATAAATTACAAATATAGGTGAAAACTGATAGAATAATTATCTACTCTCGAAGTCCTTTGAATAGCCTTAAACCACTGAAGGACTGTATCACTTTTCTTAATCGGATGTTTTTTTGTCGGTTTTAACCGATTGGTGTTTAATCTAGCCGATTGCAATCTGGTTAAAACACAGATCCTATTTCGTTTCGTTTTTATAGTTCAAAATTTCATTTTTACTTGTCTTTACTACACTAGGATCTGGAAGAGTTGTTATTTAACTCGTGTTCTGAATGGTGTCAGGGATAAGAAAATGATAAGAAAATGAAACAGTCTGTTACACCGAGCTTTAGGCGTGTCTTTCACGGAACTGTGGGTAATCCACTAGTAACATCAATGCTGATTGGTTAATCAAATGTCTGAAGTCATAGGGTCATACATCAGTCTTATGACCCCTGACGTGACCTATCGCTATAACTTGTCAGATCTTCATGTAGTGTAGGCCATCGAAAGTATAAATAAACGAAACGAAATATACATCTGTATTTTAATCAGATTGAGCCGATTGGTAAAACAATGAACCAGCCACTTAGGTATCATAAATCAATCTACTTTCGGTTAATTATCACTTGTCGATTAAACATACATTATGTAAGATTTAAATCTGCCTATTGCAGGCCTTTCTTTAGGCCTGAAATGTTATCTAAAATATTAATTAGATATTTATTAACAAAACAAGACCATAATCAGTTCTAGATGGCATCGCTAGCCTCCGATCTTTAGTGGATTATGAGGCGATTTACTGCATAACTTTCCTTCACGATTTAACGATTAAATGGATATCGAGACTATGCTGTTTATCGTACTGACTTTAGTAATGATGACCAAGGCTAGGCAGAAATTTCAACCCCTTAGTTCTCGGTTCATCGTGGATCAATTTGAATGAAATTTTCAGCAAATTGCCTTTACATTATCTAGTTTTTAACTATTATAGTGAGAACTGCCAAATTGTTATCAGATCTCCCATAATGTATCTTTACGTAGTCAATCAACTTGCTTGTAGGCTACTATAACAGTCAGGCCAGGTGATTCATAATCCGAGTAATTAGCACATTTAGAGTTAATTTTGAAAATCCGGTAAAAAAATAAAACAAGCTTGCTGATTATTCATAATAAGCCACGTGGTGAAAGACTATGATCTCAGCACTGTACACTAATCGTCGGACTTGGGCAGTGTGAGGCAGTTCAACACTTACGGGTAGTTTTGAAACGAGACACAAAATTCAATTTTTAAAAAAGATGACAATTTTTTTTAAAAATATCTGGGAAGGAGGGGATGGGAGTGGGTTAAAAGTTTACGGATATCATTGTTTACATTTCCAATTCTAAATACATAGCCCTATTGACTGGGAAACATACACAAACTATGAGGGAAAATTAACGTAAAACAGCTAAAGGCTGATAAGATGACAGTGTTTAATAGGACATACTGGTAAGTGATTTCGTCTATCAGGGATATTAGAATCGGAGAGGTCCAAGGTGGAGAAAACTACAAGCTTGGCATGAGGTCTAGGGGATTACCCACAAGTTTTATAAAATCAGAATCTATGAAACAATATTTTTGCTCAGTTAGTAACGCCAAAACGACGGCAATGTTCCATACTTTAGTTTTTTCAGTGTTATTTTGATGAATGACCCCTCGACTCCCCCCCTTCTCAATTCCTCTGGACACGTGTCGGCCTGTGGAAGGAATTCTTAGAGTGATAAGATGACAGTACTCATTAGTAAATAAGTGTTATCATCTGTAGAAGGAATTATTTGGTGATAAATAATACATCTTTCATTCAACAGTGGACAGTTTTAATAAGATTAGTAAATAGATAAACATTAAATGAAAAAAGAGTTTCTACATAAAACATTCGATCAACAGCAACAGAATTAATGAAATGAAATGGGATTTAATGTCCAACTTTTCTATACCAACTGTTATTTCCAATGTACTATTTTAATGTTATTTCCAATGTACTATCTTAAGTATTATTTTCAATGTACTATTTTAGTGTTATTTCTAATGTACTATCTTAAGTGTTATTTTCAATGTACTATCTTAGTGTTATTT